CTTAATGAGAAGATCGAAAATAACGTTACCGTAGAGGCGATGTTCCAGGACTAATCCAGACAAACAAGGAATTGGAGCGTGAACGACAGATCCTCGAGGAACAGATGTTTGACAAAGCTAGATGAGCTGGATAGCATCGATGCTATCAAAGCTGAGCATGAAGCTGCACTATGTTGGACAGAGAAAGCTCGAAGCACAGATTAAAGAGGTGCGTTCATCGATCCAAAGCTATTCTGCTGCAGAGGAAACGCTCGATGCATTGAGAAGTGACGCAGAGGAACCATCAGAGTAAATGATGGCCTTGAGGAAGAACTTCAGTATCTCAAACAAGGAAAGAGCAACTTCAGGATCGTTTCCAAGTGTCTAAGGCAGAGATAGAGATGGTTTTACAGAAGAACCAGGCTCTGCAGCAGGAAGTGGGCGATCTCTGCAGGGAGCTTGAAAAATGAAAGCATGGTGGCAGTTTGAGATAGACGAAATGAACCGGTCGAAATATGAGGAAATGAGCCAAAACCGGAAGACTTGCAAGAAGAGATCTTTGAGCTTTCAAGGAGGCTTCTGGGTTTAGAGGATCTCTTCTGGGGTCATACAACATTGCGAAGGAAGAAAAAGAGTTTGATTCTTCCAGCAAATGCAATTGTTGCAACAAAAAGAAAGTCGAGTTGTGCCAAGAACTTGAGAACGAGGACACCATTATGGAAAGTTGCAACGCAATGGTGACAGAAAAAAGCCGCCATGAGCCTCGAACATGTCTCCCTGCGAGAAGAAGTGTTGCAGCTCAAGGAAAGGCATCTGCGTTTCATGGAGCTCGAGGACTCTTACAAGGAGGCGAAAGCTGAGAGAGAGGACGTTACGAGGAAGAACGAGGCTTTGATTAAAAAGATCCAGGGTTTGAGCAATGAGGTTCACAAGGAAAAGCATCTCATGATCAAGTACAAGGCTTTGAAGGCATCCAACGAGACCTTGAGGTGTGATAGGGCCGCCATGTCGAAGGATCTCGTGGATCTTAACCTACAGATTGGTGTTTTGAGGAAGGGTCGTTCTCAGAAACAAAACCGTGCAGGAAAAGATAAACGACCTGCAGTCTATGTTGATGAGCCACTGAGGGAAAGAAACACAGCGGTTCAGAATCCAAACGGCGATCAGGACCGAATGAACGGCTTGAATGGTGAACAACGTCACCCGTTGACAATGACTTCCTTGAACACATGAAAACGGTTCAGGAGCCAGGAGATAAAAGCCACTAACTTATCCGTGGCATAACGGGTTTTCTCCGGGGGCACCGGGTTTTTCCCAAAATGTACGATTTAAAAAAAAACAAACATTAGTAAGATGTCTTAGCATGACATCAGGGGGCTTAGATATTCTTCCAGCAAGCTACAATTACAACGAGATAAATACCACGGGTTAAAGTTCATTAACTTGTCCGTGGCATAGCGGGATTTCTCCGGGAGCGCCGGGTTTTCCCAAATGTACGATTTAAAAAAAAAAAAAACATTATTAACATGGATCTTTTTTTTATTATGACATGTTACTTGTTAGATGCTTTTATCCAAAGCGACTTACATACTCAATACTGTGGCTCCCACAGGAGCAATTTGGGGTGAAGAGTCTCAGGGACACAACGACATGCTGACTGCAGTGGGGTTTGAACCTGTGACCCCCTGACCCCAACACCTAGGCACTAACCCACTACGCCACACGCCTCCATCTTAATCTAGAGCTTGGCGTTTTGAAGAAGGGTCGGTCTCATGTGGTGACATTCGATCACTTGGATGGTTTGAAAGCGGAAAATGACCTCCAGCTAAATAATCTGGATGATGTCAACGAAGAGATTTAGGTTCAACGGTGACTTTTAAACATTATTAAGATTGTCTTAGCATGGCATCAAGGGGCTACACATGTTTTTACCAGCAAGCTACAACCTTACATTCATAATGTCAGCGGAGGGAGGGGGGCGGCGCTGCGGAACAGCAGAGTGGCGAGGGAGAGCTGTCGTCTTCCCTTTACAAGCTTCAAACATGTATTTATCGTATGATTTGGAAATAAAAGTTTCATATTCTGAAAGCCAACACTTTGTTTATTTAAAATCAAGCAAAACACCCGAACCCCGAAAAACTTTTTTTTTACGCAAATCCACGTTTATTTTGAAATGAGACTTTGCGCCTTCCGACTGATTTCGATAGAGCAGAGACCTGTACTACGAAGCCGGTTCAACCTAACCTGGATATGTTTGAGTTAGCCAGTTGGCCTAATCCAAAACATACGCGCTCTCGCTAAACTGTACTACGACGCGGGTTATCAAGTGAATCGCTCAAGCCAGCCGTTTCCTATCTAGTTAGGTGTTCACATGAAAGGGGTGGTATTTGGAGCATTCGACCAATCACAAACATGGAGAAGCGTACTGACAGCGCAGCGTCATACTTCCTGAATGAAAAGTCAACTTTAATATTAGACATATGAAGAAGTTAAACTTTAAACATCCATGACTTAAACACTTTATCCAGGATCAAAGCCACATAGCTGCACCTGCAAGGTGAATACAGCTGGTAACAGAACAAGTGTTTGAATGCGTACATTAACAGGTTTATGATATCACTGCCCCGTCTAAGACACGATCTGACTTAATTACATTTGACTCGAGTGTTTCGTCAACTTAATGTGTTGCTTAAAATAATACTTCTGCATACAGTATGTGACACTGTGAGTGTTGCAACGGCCCGATACGGCTCAGCTGACTCAGATAAGAAAATATGATACATTATGAAGTGATATGCCGCGGACTGTACTTAATGTTACTCTGATCCGTTATGTCGTGGCAGATATTTAAGTAAGCTTTCTTAACGCCAATGTTATAATAGTCAGATTATTCTGAAGATGGAGGTGATATTCTATTAATGTTCACGTTCACACAGTCGGTGATTTTTGCCGGCAACGGCAGTTGCAGGAAAGACTTTCTCCTGTAATATGACTTGATCGCTTTAAAACTCTGCACACCTGAGCTCTGATTGGTCAGCAGGCAGTGCTTTCACTGAGTTGATCTCTTAGCCTGCAACCTAACCTGCTCCGGAGCAGGTTAGCCGCTCAGCATAAGTTACCATGGAGATCTAGCCTGCTAAAAAGAGAACCAGCGTCGTAGGACCGGAAAGCCGGAGTTTTCCCTGAAGTTAGCCGGCTAAGCGAAAATCCTGCTTCGTAGTATACTCCCCGGGTCACAAATGATTTTCTGTGAGAAAAACAATATAAAAAGAAATAAGTAATAACATAATAAGTCTATTGTGATATTGGCATAGAATACCTTACTGCACATATATGACTAATATTAGCCATGTGAGGTCGGCCCAGACCCTAGGGGTTTTTAAATCTACACTAAAGACTCACTTCTTCTCTCTGGCCTTCTAGTCTGAGCGGAGCACGACTCCTGACATTTCCCTGTGTGTTGTAAGGGAAACTTCTGCAGCAATGGAAAGTCAGGACTCAGAGACACGAGGAGAGTTGGAGCTTTGATGTCAAACACGGATCTTTAATACAAGCATCGGCCGGAGAAATTCACATCACAAGTCACACAGTCAAAGGTTCTGACTGCACGGGTGGGTTGCCATGTCAAATCTGATCCGCCTCGCATCTTGGTAGACCTTTTAACTAGTATACAGAGAGTCAATTGGGGGACGGTACGTGACACCTGGGAACAATGGAGATGTCTCTGACATCCGTGGTGCTTAGAAGCCCGCGTTCTCACAGTCGTAAAACCCCCCTGTGCCCGCCAGGTCAGGCCATAAAACCTGGTAGTATCAACATACGACTCCATTATCACATTCCTTACGGGAGATTGGAAGCAGGGATGGTCGTAAATGTCAACACACAGAATAGGTGTGATTTTTTTATTTGTGCTGTTGTTAAGTGTTTTTATTGTAAAGTGTTTTTATTGTAAAGTATTTTTGATTGTATGTACAGCACTTTGAACCAAAAATCGTTTTGAAATGTGCTATATAAATAAAACTTGATTTGATTTAAATAGTTCATTATTCTGTGTCATAATAATGCTTCGTGGTCATTTCAGAGTGTCTACCCGTGTTAAACTGTTACAGCCCACACGCAATGATCCAATACTTCTACATATTGGTGTTTAATAATGTCAAAATAAATAAAAGGAGGTAAAAGACTGACAGTTATGCACCAGAACATCTCGATTAGTGCCGTCGTCATTTTAAGTTAAGTTGCTACGCCACTATTTTATCTTAGCGAACACACACACACACACTAGAGGGAGTTTCTTAAAGTAACTAACAGGGCTTTTCTCCTTTCTTGCAGTTGAGCGTTTAGGTGACCCAACGCAGCACCTTTGAATGAGCTCAGCCACACACACAGAATATGGTGCCACAACAATTCAACTTTTTATGAAGGGCCAAACAACACACACACAGAGATAGAAAGAGAGAAGAGAAAGAGAGAGAGAGAGAATAGAGAGAGAGATAGAGATATAGAGAGATAGAAGAGAGAGAAGTAGAGATAGAGAAGAGATTTTTCCAATATATTGAAATCAGTGTTAAAACATAGAAAAGAGACTGGAGATAGGGACACGTGTTTGATGATAAAGAGAACATGAATAGAGGGGACACAAACTGTGTTTGATTATAAAGAACAAATGTGAGAAGAGGGGACACACGTGTTGATGTGGAAAGGAGCATGGAGAATGGATTTTGCATAATAGGATGCCTTTAAAAAAATTACAATCAATCAAACATACGGATGGCTATGGACATATGGAAGCACGTTTGACAAAGACATAAACAGGCCGTCCACACGCCCCTTAATTGTGGCTTACAGTTGGTGGGATGGACTAAAAGTAGTGCTGGTTCCGTGGTCCTTCCGGGGGCCCTTTTTGTCAATGATTTCTGTGATTGAGAAAACTGTGGTCAGGTCTGTGAACAAAAAGACGAATGATCTGATTCTCCTTCCGGTTTCTAACCGTGGCCAGGTCTGTGTAGCGTGTCCTGCAGTTAAAGCTGAGCGTCATCCCAGGTCAACTCTTGTTCATACCAAATGAAACGCTGATCGCCTGTTCCTAATGAAAGAAAAAGTAAAAGAGATGAGAGAAAGTCGAAGCATAGAGAGATGTCATGAATTGTTGTCGGAGCTTCTTTGTAATCTCTCCTGAAATAATACAACACATCAAGCCACTTGATTTATATCTATACAATCTGGACCGAGACCATCATAGCAGATGAAGGAGTTCCTCAGGGAGCACTGCTCGTCCTCCCACAACCCTCCTTCCGACATCTTCACACACATCTGGTCCCCGCCAAAGTTGTCAGGCTGACGCTCATCCCAGTTCCTGTAGAAGCTTTCATTGTCTTCGTCTGAAAATGACCACGTCCAGTTTTTGAAGTTCAGCCCGATCCAGGCCAGATCTCCAAATTCTTCCATGGAGTCCTTGGCTGTCTGCAACAGCTGGTTCATGTCTTCCATGTCAGAGACGGTGGCCAGATCAGTGTACAGTTTTCTGCAGTAAGTCTGGGCATTCAACCAGGACAATTCATCGATGAAGTGGTACTTTTTAAAGCTGCATTGTGCAATAGAACACAGCGCTGTGGATGGAAAACACAAATGCCCATCGGTAGGAAGTCACTCAGTGTTTTCAATAGTGTTCAACGTGATCGATAAGCACAAGTAGGTGAAACCAGGGGATCACCTATGAATTAAAGGTCCCCTATCATACTGTTCTGAGAGATATTTGGTTCAAAAGAACTCAATGGTGCTCTAGGAGGAGATTCAGGTGATAAGGTGGGGGGGTTACCTTGGTTGGTGATTGGCTAATGGTTACACAAGACAAAAAATCGTTATGACATCATAAAGTGGCCAAAATCTGATTTGACAGGTTTTTATATAAATGGATCAGGACAAAAAGTGAGCGAATCTTTTTTTTCCTGAAACTTTCTGAATCTCTTTACACAGAGGAGACACATGTTTATGTACAAAAGACATGAACAAGTGGAGTTTGCATAACAGGTGACCTTTAAGTCTGGACTACAATGATGAAGATACCAATATTGCCACCAATATAAAAAAAACATTTGTCATACTTTTTGTTTGAAAACGTGTTCCCAGAATGATGGAAAAATCCTTACATTGTTAAAACTTGTAAAACTCGTATTGATACAAATAAAGGATCCCAAGTAAACATGTTGTCGTTCAGGGGGTAAAACCAATCCTATTTCTCCTCTACCCATATGCTTTAAATATAATTAAAAGATGTTGTCCTACTGGTTAAGCGAGTTGAAAAACCGGAAACTATTTGTTGATGACATTAGTCAAATGTACCTGTGAGAAACAAGAGGACAGAAATCCTGCCCTTCATGTCTCGCAGCTTTCTTCACACGTGTTCCTGTAACACACACATCATTATTTACTGTGCACAAAACGAAAGGTTCTCATTCGCTCATTGTCATATGTAAAAGCCTTTATTTGCATGCTGTTCGACGCCCCATGCAGTAGTTAAAGGTGGGGTAGGTCAGAAACAGTTTTTGTTATATTCCATGGAATGCTCTTAACATCCCGATAGCAATGAATATATTAAATGCTTTGACAATAAATACATAAACACAATTTATGAAACAATTTCATCTGTGGAAGCCGTAGCGCTGTAAAAAGCACGACCAATCATCTGAGCCGGCCCGGCTAAAATAACTGGATAGCCTACCTGGCTGTCAGCCTTCCATCTGTGCACACACTTATCTCGTGCCCTCATTGGTCATGTGTGCATTCCAGCCTGTCCTCCTACAAAAAACGACCAAATAGGTCGATTGTTTAAACAGCTTAGATTACGACCCATAGCCACGTTTTAAAGTGTAGCACCTCTAGTGGTCGTGTATGAAACAACATGCTCCCGTTTATTCGTTTAATCACAAATAACCCTCTCTGGAAAATCCTAAATTGTAGACTAGTTTGGCCATTAAAATGCTTTTTGATTAAATTTCTAGCGAGAAGTGTATATTGTACTTTTAGAATCCACGTCCAGTGGATGTGTAGGATCTATAGTTTGATAGATATTACGAAGATGATTTGAGGTCTCGCCAGGATAACGTGTATGCAGCTTCCATGTAAAGTTAGCGTGGGTGAAAACAGTTTTTCCGGTCTCGAAGTTTTCATAATAAAACCGGATATATTCCCCTCACTGTCAAATGATTACACAGTGATATCTCCATTACTCATCCACTAAAAAACATCAGTTTATCCTTGTTAATTACACAATATTGATTGGTTTAAATGGTGTACAATGCTTTTGTGTTTTTAACCTTCAATTCAGAGAAACAAATAGTTTTTTAGGAGTTTAGACACTACAGTTTCCGAAGACACTACACAGAATCCCCAGCTATCGTTTGGGACTACAACATCCACCTTGCTTTACAAACCCCATGATTAGTCCTCAAGCCCTGTGATTGGATGTTGGAGTGGCAGTGTGACAAGGTGACGCTGAGCGTCAACAGCTCGTTGAAATGGAATGGAACCACGGCAGACTTTCCAAAACTGGAATTGGACGGGTCCAGCCCCCGGGTCCAGCCCATACATCCATGGTCCAGCCCCCCCCCCCAGAACTACACATGCTGGATATTGTGTGTTTCGCAACATTATATGGCACGTCTCTTTATAAGACGTTTTCGTATTTCTCACAATTAGAAGTTGCCAGTATTAAACTGTGTACACCCCTGGAGGTTTAGGGGATACGAAACACAGTGGTGTTATCAAATGTAAAACATATAATTAATAAATGGGTGAATTAATATACCCACATGACACCTAAGGTCAGAAGAGCTTTATTTAACAGCTGGTCTTATGTCTGTGCAATTGTCAAGGTTCAGAGGCAAATTTTGCAAATATGGCAGTAGCCATCGATCATCTTAAGATAAGATATACTTTATTGATCCCAAGTTGGGAAATATTTTTGTTACAGCAGCATACTACTTTGTTCTACTCCACTACAATTCAGAGGTTAACCTGGTATTTTTACTCCACTACATGTATTTTAGTTACTTTGCAGATTCTGATTAATGATGTGAAATATAAACAACCATTAAATCAGACTTTAGTTACACCTGACACCAAAATAAACTATGCAATATATTGGACGTAAAGCACGTTGTCAGACTTCATATTTATCTGTGGATAACCCCAACGTTTTTTTCTTATTCAAAAGAAGACCTTAACTTAAAGTAATGTTTAAATAAAGCCTTATTAGTTTGTCTGTTTTGCACATCCTCCTGTTAATATCTTTGGACGTCCTGCACTAAACTGTTTTATTGTAGAGATCATCTTCTTGATATTTTCAATTTTGTATGTAGGCTACTCTTAATATTTAAATGTTTTCATCAAATAAAACTTATTCAACAACAACATTCAATAACATGCTTTAACCACTAGGCGGCGCGGGTTAAAAAAACAGTGGTGTAGTTAATAAAACATAATAATATCAAACATAATATGACTATTAACTTTATTGTGAAATTAAAACAGAACGGTAAAGAAGAATACAGTTTCAGTCTCTCGATTTGAAGCTTATGCATTGTACCATGAACCTGTAACAGTCAACAGCATGAGTAGTTGGAAAGGTAGTAAATAATTTAAAAACTACAACAAAAAAAACTTTCTATCAGCTGTGCACCGTTATGGTGTAAATATAACCTATACCAATTGGATCAAATATAAAAGTCAGCCTAATTAGTGTTGATACTGTAAGGAGACGTATTGTGTGAAAAGAAATGGAAGATGTTGTTTAATTGCTAATATATTTATGGTCCACGTCACGTATTCAGTTTTGGCGGCATTTCTTACAGTTTGTCAAAAGGTCTTCTGATCAAGGCTCTATAAATAAATATCTACGGCAGATATGTAATATTTAATGCAGCCGAACCGTGTATTACAATGCCGTTATGTGATGACTTCCAAAGAGAAAAGCAAGAACACTTGGAATAAAGTAATATTTTATTTAAAAAAAAATGTTTTTCCGATTTCATATCGGATAAACACCATATCCCAACATGCATTGCGGCGATGTTTTAGCCTATCAAAACCTCTGAAAAAAGAAAGGCGTCTCAGAATCGAAAGAGAAAAACCTATGGGAAAAACACAAAAGCATTGTGCACAATTTAAACCGATAAATGTCGTATAATTAACAAGGATAAACTGATGTTTTTTAGTGGATGAATACTGCAGATATCACTGTTAAATCATTTGGTCATTGGTTTTATTATGAAAACGTCGAGAAATACTGTTTTCAACCAGTAACTTTACATGGAGGCTGCCGCAAACCTCAAATCATCTTCGTAATATCTATCAAACTATAGATCCTACATATCGACTGGAGGTGGATTCTAAAAGTACAATATACACTTCTCGCTAGAAATCTAATCAAAAAGCGTTTTAATGGCCAAACAATTTAGGATTTTACAGAGAGGGTTATTTGTGAATAAACGACCATCAGTAACGTTGGCATTCAACGGGAGCACTAGAGGGCGAAAACTTTAAAACGTAATTATAGGACGTATTAAGCGATTGAACAAATGACATATTTGGTCGTAATAATTGGGCCTGAACAATCGGCATATTTGGTCGTATGAGTTGGAGGACTTGTTGCACCGTTCGTGTGTGTTGGAGGAGAGGCTCTGTAAGGAAGTCTGAAGGAAGAGGCAGATTTTTTTTCGGCTAAATTCTTTCAATTCTAGCGCACTCGAGCTGGTTTCTCCATTCTTACCTACCCTACCTTTAAGTACTTTACTAAAATACAGTAACAAAGCACAATTCGATGTGATTGAATTTGAAGAATGTCATTATTCATTTGCACTTGACTATTCAGAAGTAAATATTGTACATTATTCTCCATTATATTAAACATTAATGCACTAGTAATTATAATCCAATAATGTTTGTTTCTTACAATTACATTTTGATGATAATTATACTGTACTTTGTAGTCACATTTCAAAAGCTAGACCTATAATGGAGCAGTAATGTATTGCTAATTTTACCTAAATGAATGTCCAAAAATCACAACAGCTCTTTACAAGCTGCACACCATACATCATTTTTACTACACCATGTTAAGAAAAAGAAAGTGCCAGGAGAAAATGATTACTCTGCAAAACTGCTGTTTTGAATTCTTTGAAAAATATGCATCAATGGATTTAGTCAATAATCTGAATACTCCTGCAGATGGATACATTTGGTTTTGTAAAATTGTTCAATTAAAGCACCAAGAGAAAAATATATACATTTTAAAATAGTATCTATTTTGTATTTACCTGTAGCTTTGTAGAGTCGTCCTCGTCTCAAGATCTCTTACCTTCCCAAACTGTGGTCTCTAAACTTTGTTGCGCACAATTTATGTAAAGCTTTTCTTGTTATGCAACAATTAGGTAAACCCTCTTGCCCGACAAGTTTCTGGTTCTTCCCCACATTCTCACTCTGAAGTGACACAAGATTTTTGGAACAAACAGGTTTTAGTGGGAAGACTCAGGGCGCCTCAGGAGTTCAAAGAAACACTCGGACCACTAAACAGCTTCTTGGTTGAACTTTATTGAAATAAAAGCAGCCTTTCAGCAGTGACGTTTGGTGTCAAAAAGGTCACACTGGTGTCCTGACAAGTGCATAATGACTTTAAGCAGGGGTAGACATTAAGGGTAAAATTCAGCTGGCCCTCCGGGCCGGTGGAATTTTATTATCACTGGCCCCACCATTGTAACCACTGGCCCGGAGCATTCGTCCAAAAAAAATCGACTAATAATGAAGAAAATTAACACATTTGTTGCAATAGTCATTTATGCACTAACTACATACTACTTGTACTACAACATTTGAATCATCAGTTCTTCCTCATTTTCCTCAATTGTTCATATTTGGTTTATTAAAATAATGATATTGTGGTCATTGTTCAAAAATGTCTGCTATTATGAGTATTATTTGTATAATGCACTTTCTGCCTTCCTGTCATCAGGAGTTAGACATGTAATGGCTATGTAATTGATTTGATTAGAACCTTCATTATCCTAAACTGCTGGGACATTTCCCTATAGCCAATACCTTTATATTGTCTACTCTTCACTTACTTGTCAGCATAGGTCGGCACCATAGGTCGGCACCGAGCCGACAGAAGACCTTGTTTATATTGGTATCATATTGAGAGGTGCAGTTACGCGTCCTAAAACCAGGAAGTAAGCTGCTGGTTCCCTCCACAGAAAGCAATGGGATTTCTCCACAGGGTTTTGGAAAATAGCTGGAAATAAGGTCTGTGGAAAACAAACCTGTTTGATAAATGCACGTTTTGTTCAGCTGGATAATCTCCACATGTCTACCCTACTTTTATAATTGTATAATCATAAATCTAATCGATAGATTATAAAAGGGTTTTAGGATGCGTCGCACCACTAGAAGCCAACTCCATCGATCAAGCTGACTGAAACTTTCTCTCCCTCTTCTTCTCATGCTCCCTGTCACTCTCCTTTAACTCCTCCGGTGACTTTCTTTTATTTGAAGATAGTTTATTGCCCGGCGCTTGGCCGGTTACCGCTGGTATTAAAAACATGTTGGCGAATGGTAAGGTGGCACGATAGTCTGTAGTGAAGGAGCGCGCTCCCGTTCACGGGAGCCTGCTCGCGCTGCGCTCCCGCTCACGGGAGCCTGCTCGCGCTGCGCTCACGGGAGCCTGCTCGCGCTGCGCTCACGGGAAACTGCTCGCGCTGCGCTCCGCACCGCAACAAAACAGCTATTTGCTTTTCACCCAACAACGACAACCGACTCACGAAACGCTATGTTGTAGCGTTAATAAACGAAACAATTTAACAAAATTGCTAGTCCAAATACCAATACCACAGGACAATATATTTTTTTTAAACAATATTTTTTGTGGCCCCAGCGGGCAAGTGGAAAGTACGTTATGCTGGCCCGGGGTGTCTAAATAGTGCTTCCGGGCCAGCGGGCCATTTATAATGTCGAGCCCTGCTTTAAGGATTTAAGTATTTGTGATTTCTAACACCTTTTCTCACCAAACGTTGAGAAAGCTGAAAGACTGGACAAATGTTGCTCTGAACATCTGAGACAATTCTTTAATGACTACATTGAAAATGATTACCTTAAAGCATGATTTCCACCCCAAAGAAGTCTGGACTATTGCTTACACTTGTATGCTTCTTCTCAATAAAAATATTTGAAAACGAAGATGATTACCTTGTGAAAAATCTAAGGAAATAACTGAGGGTGTTTCTCAATGTCGAGGACGCTTCCTTGGTAGGACATGTCCCTCCGAGTCAGGTCCATCAGAGGCTAGGCAAGAATCCTTCCTTTCAGAGAATGAAGAATGGAACAGGCTAGCAAGTGTGCGTCATATGAGAGGCCCCGCCTTACATTTTCTGACAAAGATTTGGGAAATTATACGTGTGCAAAGCATTGTGGGGATTTTAAGACAGTGGACACTGGGTGTTTCTCAATGTCGAGGACACTTCCTTGGTAGGACACGTCTTCCGATTCAGTTCCTTCATAAGCGAGGCAAGAATCCTTCCTAGCCACGGAAAATGAATAATTGTGGAACAGGTTAACAGGTGTGCATCATATGAGGCCCCACCTTAAATGGAGCACGATTTCCACCAAAGATTTGGAAATTGGTCCGTGCACAAAGCATTGTGGGGATTTTAAGACCACCGAGTCTACACATGTACAGCTTCGAAATTTCTCGCTACGAAGTACGCCGGCCTCGGTAGAATTCCAAGTATGCTGGACATTGGAACAGTTCTTTGGCGGCACTCGATGATGTAGCATGTCTTTTGTAAAGAAATTAAATCATTAAACCTTTCAAATCGCTAAGCAATATCAGCAGAAATTCACAAGTTGGATCATTCTAAAACAACCATTTGTTAATGATTGAAATAGCCTTTGGACAAATCAACTTACTTATGATCCTTAATGGCCTCAAATGTACCGATTACAGTTGAAAAGTTAAAGCATTAAAAAAAAATATATTCCGAGTGCGAGGAGGTTTCCACGCAGTTTGACGAGGGTGACACATTTTCTACTTTCTGTAAAAACAGCCACAGAAATGTCACCCCGCGTTTGTGTGTGTCTGTGTGTGTGTGTTGTGCAGCCCTTGAACAAGTCTAGTGTTACGTTTCCAAATGTGCCGACAAAGAAAAAGAGCATTCAAATCTACAGTTCCTTTTAATTTTATTACAAAAACAAAAAACAGGATTTTCAGAATTAACAGTACAACAACAAATCTACTGAAAAAAAAGGAAGGGGGAAACAGAGAACAAGTGCGAGGGAAGTGGTGTGTGTGTGTGTGTGTGCGCATAAGTTTACGATCCCCATTAAAAAGAAGAATAAATCAGAGAATGTATCCGTCCCCCCCCTTCAAAAAAATTCCATATTATTACTTCAATTGAACAAATATTGAAGAAAACATGAGGGGAAGTGAAACGTACACGAGGAGAGTTTCTCAGATTTGATATAAAACACTTGGCAGAGGATATGTCAAGCCTTTTTTCATTTTATTATCCATTAGTTAAGAAAAACAAATCTTTTTTTCCAAACGGAAAACAAACAATGCTCGCAATAAAAACCCATTTAAACACACATGCACGCACACAGACACACAAACATGACACCTGATGGGTGGATGGAGATGGAAGGAATTAAGGAGGGGGGGGGGTGATGAATGAAGTGTGTGTGACCGCTCGTTCTTTCCTACCATTTCAACATGACACTTCACTGACCAACACGAAAAATAAGGGGCGTCTACGTCTATATACACATTGTGTGTGTGTCTGAGTGTGTGTGTTTGTAAATGTATGAGTGAGAAGAGCCATTTGGGGTTAATGAAAGGTCTAGGTTTGGCAGTGTGTGTGTGTGTGTGTGTACGTGTGTGTTTGTAAGAGACATTTAGGACCGTCGCTTCTTCTTGGCGGCGGGGCGGCTTGGGGGGGGGTGGGCGGATCTTTCTCTTCCTGGGGTTGGTGGTGGTGTCCTCTTCCTCGTAGACGCTCTCTTTGTCAGCTATAAAACAGAAAAAATATGGCACGTTTAACAATAAAGACGATTCACATTTCATGTATTTAAAAAAAAAGGACATTAAATTGCACTGCAATAAAAACACAAAGGTATTTTCTTTGTATGAGACTGCTTTCAGACAGAGGGTGAAAAGAGGCACCACATACTGATATACACCTGAACATCAGCAGGAGAGGACTCTTTAAAGTAGAGACACTACATACTGATATACACCTGAACATCAGCAGGAGAGGACTCTTTAAAGTAGAGACACTACATACTGATATACACCTGAACATCAACAGGAGAGGACTCTTTAAAGTAGAGACACTACATACTGATATACACCTGAACATCAGCAGGAGAGGACTCTTTAAAGTAGAGACACTACATACTGATATACACCTGAACATCAGCAGGAGAGGACTCTTTAAAGTAGAGACACTACATACTGATATACACCTGAACATCAGCAGGAGAGGACTCTTTAAAGTAGAGACACTACATACTGATATACACCTGAACATCAGCAGGAGAGGACTCTTTAAAGTAGAGACACTACATACTGATATACACCTGAACATCAGCAGGAGAGGACTCTTTAAAGTAGAGACACTGATATACACCTGAACATCAGCAGGAGAGGACTCTTTAAAGTAGAGATACTACATACTGATATACACCTGAACATCAGCAGGAGAGGACTCTTTAAAGTAGAGATACTACATACTGATATACACCTGAACATCAGCAGGAGAGGACTCTTTAAAGTAGATACACTACATACTGATATACACCTGAACATCAGCAGGAGAGGACTCTTTAAAGTAGAGACACTGATATACACCTGAACATCAGCAGAGAGGACTCTTTAAAGTAGAGACACTACATACTGATATACACCTGAACATCAGCAGGAGAGGACTCTTTAAAGTAGAGACACTACATACTGATATACACCTGAACATCAGCAGGAGAGGACTCTTTAAAGTAGAGACACTGATATATACCTGAACATCAGCAGGAGAGGACTCTTTAAAGTAGAGACACTACATACTGATATACACCTGAACATCAGCAGGAGAGGACTCTTTAAAGTAGAGACACTACATACTGATATACACCTGAACATCAGCAGGAGAGGACTCTTTAAAGTAGAGACACTACATACTGATATACACCTGAACATCAGCAGGAGAGGACTCTTTAAAGTAGAGACACTACATACTGATATACACCTGAACATCAGCAGGAGAGGACTCTTTAAAGTAGAGACACTACATACTGATATACACCTGAACATCAGCAGGAGAGGACTCTTTAAAGTAGAGACACTACATACTGATATACACCTGAACATCAGCAGGAGAGGACTCTTTAAAGTAGAGACACTACATACTGATATACAACCTGAACATCAACAGGAGAGGACTCTTTAAAGTAGAGACACTACATACTGATATACACCTGAACATCAGCAGGAGAGGACTCTTTAAAGTAGAGACACTACATACTGATATACACCTGAACATCAGCAGGAGAGGACTCTTTAAAGTAGAGACACTACATACTGATATACACCTGAACATCAGCAGGAGAGGACTCTTTAAAGTAGAGACACTACATACTGATATACACCTGAACATCAGCAGGAGAGGACTCTTTAAAGTAGAGACACTACATACTGATATACACCTGAACATCAGCAGGAGAGGACTCTTTAAAGTAGAGACACTGATATACACCTGAACATCAGCAGGAGAGGACTCTTTAAAGTAGAGATACTACATACTGATATACACCTGAACATCAGCAGGAGAGGACTCTTTAAAGTAGAGATACTACATACTGATATACACCTGAACATCAGCAGGAGAGGACTCTTTAAAGTAGATACACTACATACTGATATACACCTGAACATCAGCAGGAGAGGACTCTTTAAAGTAGAGACACTGATATACACCTGAACATCAGCAGGAGAGGACTCTTTAAAGTAGAGACACTACATACTGATATACACCTGAACATCAGCAGGAGAGGACTCTTTAAAGTAGAGACACTACATACTGATATACACCTGAACATCAGCAGGAGAGGACTCTTTAAAGTAGAGACACTGATATATACCTGAACATCAGCAGGAGAGGACTCTTTAAAGTAGAGACACTACATACTGATATACACCTGAACATCAGCAGGAGAGGACTCTTTAAAGTAGAGACACTACATACTGATATACACCTGAACATCAGCAGGAGAGGACTCTTTAAAGTAGAGACACTACATACTGATATACACCTGAACATCAGCAGGAGAGGACTCTTTAAAGTAGAGACACTACATACTGATATACACCTGAACATCAGCAGGAGAGGACTCTTTAAAGTAGAGACACTACATACTGATATACACCTGAACATCAGCAGGAGAGGACTCTTTAAAGTAGAGACACTGATATACACCTGAACATCAGCAGGAGAAGGACCTCTTTAAAGTAGAGATACTACATACTGATATACACCTGAACATCAGCAGGAGAGGACTCTTTAAAGTAGAGACACTACATACTGATATACACCTGAACATCAGCAGGAGAGGACTCTTTAAAGTAGAGACACTACATACTGATATACACCTGAACATCAGCAGGAGATTGACTCTTTAAAGTAGAGACACTGATATACACCTGAACATCAGCAGGAGAGGACTCTTTAAAGTAGAGACACTACATACTGATATACACCTGAACATCAGCAGGAGAGGACTCTTTAAAGTAGAGACACTACATACTGATATACACCTGAACATCAGCAGGAGAGGACTCTTTAAAGTAGAGACACTGATATATACCTGAACATCAGCAGGAGAGGACTCTTTAAAGTAGAGACACTACATACTGATATACACCTGAACATCAGCAGGAGAGGACTCTTTAAAGTAGAGACACTACATACTGATATACACCTGAACATCAGCAGGAGAGGACTCTTTAAAGTAGAGGCACTACATACTGATATACACCTGAACATCAGCAGGAGAGAACTCTTTAAAGTAGAGACACTACATACTGATATACACCTGAAACATCAGCAGGAGAGGACTCTTTAAAGTAGAGACACTACATACTGATATACACCTGAACATCAGCAGGAGAGGACTCTTTAAAGTAGAGACGCTACATACTGATATACACCTGAACATCAGCAGGAGAGGACTCTTTAAAGTAGAGACACTACATACTGATATACACCTGAACATCAGCAGGAGAGGACTCTTTAAAGTAGAGACACTACATACTGATATACACCTGAACATCAGCAGGAGAGGACTCTTTAAAGTAGAGGCACTACATACTGATATACACCTGAACATCAGCAGGAGAGAACTCTTTAAAGTAGAGACACTACATACTGATATACACCTGAACATCAGCAGGAGAGGACTCTTTAAAGTAGAGACACTACATACTGATATACACCTGAACATCAGCAGGAGAGGACTCTTTAAAGTAGAGACACTACATACTGATATACACCTGAACATCAGCAGGAGAGGACTCTTTAAAGTAGAGACACTACATACTGATATACACCTGAACATCAGCAGGAGCGGACTCTTTAAAGTAGAGACACTACATACTGATATACACCTGAACATCAGCAGGAGAGGACTCTTTAAAGTAGAGACACTACATACTGATATACACCTGAACATCAGCAGGAGAGGACTCTTTAAAGTAGAGACACTACATACTGATATACACCTGAACATCAGCAGGAGAGGACTCTTTAAAGTAGAAACACTACATACTGATATACACCTGAACATCAGCAGGAGAGGACTCTGTTACTTTAGATGAAAATAAGGAGCCCCTCCCCACGCCCCTCTGAGAGATATTTGGTTGAAAATAACTCAATGGTGCTCTAGGAGGAGATTCAGGTGATAAGGGGGGGGGGGGGTTACCTTGGTTGCTGATTGGCTAATGGTTACTCAAGACAAAACATCGTTATGACATCATAAAGTGGCCAAAATCTGATCAGCTCATTTTCAGACAGGTTTTTATAGAAATGGATCAAAAAGAGAGAGAATCTTTGTTCCTGAAACTTTCAGAGTCTCTTTCCACAGAGGGGACACGTGTTGATGAAGAAGAGACATGAAGAAGAGGGGACACATGTTGATGTAGAGGAGACATGAAGAAGAGGGGACACATGTTGATGTAGAAGAGACATGAAGAAGAGGGGACACATGTTGATGTAGAAGAGACATGAAGAAGAGGGACACGTGTGAGTAGAAGAGAGGGGACACGTGTTGATGTAGAAGAGACATGAAGAAGAGGGGACACATGTTGATGTAGAAGAGACATGAAGAAGAGGGGACACATGTTGATGTAGAAGAGACATGAAGAAGAGGGGACACATGTTGATGTAGAAGAGACATGAAGAAGAGGGGACACATGTTGATGTAGAAGAGACATGAAGAAGAGGGGACACATGTTGATGTAGAAGAGACATGAAGAAGAGGGGACACATGTTGATGTAGAAGAGACATGAAGAAGAGGGGACACATGTTGATGTAGAAAGAGACATGGAAGAAGAGGGGAGGACACATGTTGATGTAGAAGAGACATGAAGAAGAGGGGACACATGTTGAGTAGAAGAGACATGAAGAAGAGGGGACACCATGTTGATGTAGAAGAGACATGAAGAAGAGGGGACACATGTTGATGTAGAAGAGACATGAAGAAGAGGGGACACATGTTGATGTAGAGGAGACATGAAGAAGAGGGGACACATGTTGATGTAGAAGAGACATGAAGAAGAGGGGGACACATGTTGATGTAGAAGAGACATGAAGAAGAGGGACACATGTTGATGTAGAAGAGACATGAAGAAGAGGGGACACATGTTGATGTAGAAGAGACATGAAGAAGAGGGGACACATGTTGATGTAGAAGAGACATGAAGAAGAGGGGACACATGTTGATGTAGAAGAGACATGAAGAAGAGGGGACACATGTTGATGTAGAAGAGAACATGAGAAGAGAGGGGACACATGTTGATGTAGAAGAGACATGAAGAAGAGGGGACACATGTTGATGTAGAAGAGACATGAAGAAGAGGGGACACATGCTGATGTAGAAGAGACATGAAGAAGAGGGGACACATGTTGATGTAGAAGAGACATGAAGAAGAGGGGACACATGTTGATGTAGAAGAGACATGAAGAAGAGGGGACACATGTTGATGTAGCAACACATCCTGAATGTTAGCCATGAAAAGCTTTACAGACCTCTCCTGGCTTCTTCCTCCAGCTCGTCCCAGTCTTTCCCGCTCTCCTCCTCGCTGCCGACAGACTCGCTGTAATCTGCAAGAAAAAATACATACATCATGTAAACTAATATCACTGCAAAGAGAACGGTTTCTAACGGCAACAATTAAAAAAACTGTTTGTGTTTTCGCAAGGTGCGGCATGCTGGAAAAAGGAGAAAGAAATCAAAAAGTCGTACTGGAGTCCTCTGTCTCCGAGTCGTAGTCTTCGTCACTGTCCGCCTCCTCCTCTTCCTCCTCTTCATCTCCAGACGGGTTGAATGTTTCATCCTCTATTTCCGACTCGGAGTCTTCCTCCCGACCGCTTCCCTGAGAACAAACAAAAATACAAATGTGTTGTTTGATAAAAAAATAAATGAAATAAAACGGTGTAGCAAGAACGAGGAAAATCTGGTCCGCACCGCTGTTCAACACAAACTAGAATATCAGTGTTTCCACTAGGATGGAGTCATAGCAGCGGTGCGAAGGCAAAATGTGAGCGAGTGCGAAGTGCGCCCCGCCAATATGTTTCTATGTGTCTGCCAGCACAAGAAAGGCCTAGTTCATACAGTGTCTCAAGATTAAACCTTTATTGAACATACAGTAACACAAATACTACAAATCCACAAAACGAGCACTAGGGGGCGCCACTTGTTAAAAAACTAATTTGCGCCGCCACTATTTGTATATAAGGGAAACACTGAATATATCTTTTTTGTCATCATTCAAAGTATAACGAAATCTCTTTGGCAACTCTCACTGCAGTAAAAAATAGACACTATAAATAAATAAGAGTGGTGAAAGCAGAGGTAGTAGCGATGACAGTGCAACGAGACAAAATTCAATGTCAATGTGCATATTTACACTTACTTACTACAGAACTGTTACAGGTGTGTATTATCAGGGTATATGCAGGAATCCTGAAGTCAAATGTAACACCTTTTAAGACCCTTTCCATACATTTTAAGTAGGGATGCACGATAATTATCGGCCCGATATTAGGAATTATGACGTCATCCCGATAAACCCGATACCAGTATTAATAGCCCCGATAATATACAATATATTTTTTGGGTAAAAAAAAAGAAAACAATACTGCGGTGTGGGTGGATTGGGATGAGGGGCGCTTGTTTTGCACTCGGCTCCTCCCGTTTTGCCAGTACTGTGGTATTAGTGGTTTAGGAAGAGGGGAGTTTTACACAAATCCAGCGCTCCCTAACTCATGCCTGGCTGTGACGTAAATGGTGTGCGGTCGTGAAGCCAGGACAGTAAACAAACATGTCGTCGGTGGTATGGGCGTTGGAGCTATGTGCAACTCAAGGCATATGCTCGAACCGGAGCTGCCTGGACGCTGCAATCATGTTGCGCACTATCCGTGCTGAGTGTGCTGACTTCTCGTACAATGTCCCACTGTCTGGCTTCCTGCATAAAGTCAAGTGCTCGGCGCAGTTGTGTGGATAGAGCGCTCCTCTGTTTTCATTTAAACAGCTCCGTATATCCGTTAGCGCAGCTAGCTAGCACCAGATGCTAACAACAACAATGCACGTAAGGTCTCTCTCTCGCTCGCTCGTGCCACACATACACACACCCTCCCGGTCCTCCAGATGGCCAGTCGGTGCCTGCCGGTGAGCGTGGAAGTGTGGTCTGCCACAAGCGGGCGGCAGGAGCGGGGCTGTCAGCATCAGCTTGTAGATGGTATTTTAAACTCGATGCGTTCTGAAACTACGGGGCGGCCGAGGAAAAAAAATACACATAAGTTAATCGCGTTAAAATAATTAGTGGCGTAAAAAAAATTTTGTTATCGGTATCGGTCTTGAGAAGCAGGAAGTTATTGGTATCGGTTTAAAAAAAAACAATATCGTGCATCCCTAATTTTCAGACCCCATCGCCACTTGGAGTTCTAACCGGTTACCTTGGCGACACACTTTACCTCACATTGACTATATACAGTATTGATTGTGCTTCCTCCTTATCTTCCAACCATTTGGACGCAGACTTGCATTTCCCCATAACGATGTTGCTTAGCAACCGGCGTAAACAGACCTCCTGTTCAGATGACGTCAAACCCAACGGGATGCCATCAATAAACTACAGAATCACACTACACACCTACGCAATGATTACATTCAGGCAGACTGTAGAACACAACCTCTTTGGACCATTTATATACTTATTGAAAACAAGCTACAAAATGTGATACCTTGGAAAATGCCGGTTAATACTTTTTAATAGCCTTCATTTTCGCTAAATTGATTTATCAACTTTTAATACTTTTTAATAGCCTTCATTTAAGCCTTGCTTTTTAAGACCCCGCGGACACCCTGATTATGTAAATTGTGTAATTTTCTTTTTTAATCTTTAATATATTTTGTATGCATGCTTCTTAGGTAACATCAAGCTGTCTTTGGGTCTTTTCTGTTGTAACAAATGTAAATGTCCTTTCTGTGGGACGAATAAAAGTATTCCGATTTCTTTCTGCGTGGAAAATCAAATGAAATGCCCCGAAATGTTCCCCGTTTGTTTCCGCAGATTGTTTGTGCTTTGCTATATAATAATAATCTTTATTTGTATAGCACCTTTCATGCACAAAGCAGCCCGAAGTGCTTTACAGAAAACATAACATTAAATAAATACAGAAGATAAAACATCAAAAGTGATCCTAATGAAATTCCCGTGAATTAAACCCGACAACAAATTAAAATATGTTAAAATAAAGCAATTTAAAATGTCAAATAAAAGCAAAACACAGCAAAACATGGACAATGATACTGGTGAGAATTGAAAGTTAACCCAAATTAAAAGCCATGTTAAAAAGATTTGCTGTTCTAAGATCCACGGGGACATTTCTAAAAGCAGGGCACTGGAGGATCTAAGGCAGGGGTGTCAAACTCAAGGCCCGGGGGCCAAATCCGGCCTGCCACTTTATTTTATGCGGCCCCACAAGAGCTTGCAAAGAACATAATACGTTTATTATAAGGTTCCGCTTTACAGAAGCACGTTGCCCATAAACTACATGTCCCACAATGCATCTCATTTTGTGACATTCTCACTGAAGAGACTTGCAATTATTTGCCCAAGCCTTCTGCTTTCAGACGTAGTTAATTATGAAGTTATCACCCTATCCGATAATAATCCAATGCAGAGGAAATAATACATTATTTTATATATTTATATAATCTTAAAGTTACCACCGGCCCTTTGAGTGCAACCATAATTCTAACGTGGCCCGTGATGAAATTGAGTTTGACACCCGTGATCTAAAGGGTTCTTGTTGGAACATAAAAAGAAAGGCAGTCGCTGAGATGAGAAGGTGAAGTAAAGCTTATAGTTAATAAGACTCTAAAAGAAACGGGTAACCAGTGGAGTGATGCCAGCACAGGGGAAATGTGTTCTCTATGTGTACGTACATCGCCCTCGGGGTCCAAGAAAGACCAGCCTCCCTGCTCGAAGAAGCCCTCGGGGTCGTCCACGATGGTCTTCATGATCTTGGTCCAGTTCAGGGACTGCACGCCCTCCGTGTACTTGATGTCGCAGGAGCTGAGGAGAGACAGGACACTTTTAGCCTGTGTGCGAACAAGAGTTGATGTTTGGATGTCATTTAAAAAGGTCCCCTATTATACTATTACAATGGTGCTCTAGGAGGAGATTCAGGTGATAAGGGGGGGGGGGGGGGGTTACCTTGGTTGGTGATTGGCTAATGGTTACTCAAGCCAAAACATCGTTATGACATCATAAAGTGGCCAAAATCTGATCAGCTCATTTTCAGACAGGTTTTTATAGAAATGGATCAAAAAGAGAGAGAATCTTTGTTCCTGAAGCTTTCAGAGTCTCTTTCCACAGAGGGGACACATGTTGATGTAGAAGAGACATGGAGAAGAGGGGACACATGTTGATGTAGAAGACACATGAAGAAGAGGGGACACATGTTGATGTAGAAGAGACATGAAGAAGAGGGGACACATGTTGATGTAGAAGAGACATGAAGAAGAGGGGACACATGTTGATGTAGAAGAGACATGAAGAAGAGGGGACACATGTTGATGTAGAAGAGACATGAAGAAGAGGGGACACATGTTGATGTAGAAGAGACATGAAGAAGAGGGGACACATGTTGATGTAGAAGAGACATGAGAAGAGGGGACACATGTTGATGTAGAAGAGACATGAAGAAGAGGGGACACATGCTGATGTAGAAGAGACATGAAGAAGAGGGGACACATGTTGATGTAGAAGAGACATGAAGAAGAGGGGACACATGCTGATGTAGAAGAGACATGAAGAAGAGGGGACACATGTTGATGTAGAAGAGACATGAAGAAGAGGATTTTGCATAATAGGTGACCTTTAAGTTGGACATCTTTCTGATTTTAAAAACGTACTTGAGCCACTCCTTGATGGGGTCCAGGGAGTTGACGGCACGGCGTTGATCATGGTGACCTTCTTGTTGTAGTCCTTGTAGACGATGACCACGTCGAAGTTCTTCAGGTGGAACTGAACGCGCTCAAAGTGGATCAACTCCACCTCGTCCAGGGTCACCACGAACGGAGGCTGGACGCAGAGAAAGACAAAAAGGAAATCAACAAAAAGGACAGAAGAATTTGACAAATGTCTTGGGGTCAAATGTATATATAATAAAGAATTCAACTAAGATAAATGACTATACATTTAGCTGAGGCTTTTATCCAAAGTGCATTCAAACATGAAGATACGAGTAAAAGCCCTGTAAGTTTGCAGCAAACAAGCCAACCTTCCTAAGTGCATCAATTAGGTCTTATGTTATTTCTTTGTATTGAATTATTGGCAACAGGTGGGTTTTTAGTCTGCATCGTGAGATGAGTTGCGTTGATATCAGGAAAGCAGAGAATCAACACCTGGAATGCTTTAACAGAAGTTTTATATTTTGTTTAAACCTGAGATATACATTTTTAAACCGCAAGATGATTGATCAACTGTTCTACACACAAGATGCGGTCCCTTATCTTGGCGGCATGATTCAAACTTGGGATTTTGTTTCACAGTCTCCAAGGTTTCTACACTTTTCCATTAACAAATGAATTTTTGCAGAGTTCTTGTAAAAACAGTGGGGCTGCATCTCTTGGAATAAAACCACATTGTACATTTATATATAATATTCCATCCGTCATGTATTTCTGGATATATCACGGGTGTCAAACTCAATTTCATCGCGGGCCACGTTAGAATTATGGTTGCACTCAAAGGGCCGGTGGTAACTTTAAGATTATATAAATATAGATGGATAAATATATAAAATAATGTATTATTTCCTCTGCATTGGATTATTATCGGCTAGGGTGATAACTTCATAATTAACTACGTCTGAAAGCAGAAGTCTAGGGCAAATAATTGCAAGTCTCTTCAGTGCGCACGGCACAAAATGAGATGCATTGTGGGACATGTAGTTTATGGGCAACGTGCTTCTGTAAAGCGGAACCTTATAATAAACGTATTATGTTCTTTGCAAGCTCTTGTGGGCCCGCATAAAATGAAGTGGCGGGCCGGATTTGGCCCCCGGGCCTTGAGTTTGACACCCCTGGTATATATAATACCTTGTTGAATTTAACATGTATATTTTCTACAGTCTTCTTATGCTGCTGCAAACGCAAACATTTCCCACATTGGGATCAATAAAGTACTATCTTATAAATCATCTAACCAAGGACACATTCAAAAAGCCACTTGGACAGAACTTGTGAAGTGTCTACACATGGAGAGAATAAAGTGTGGCCTCACTTGTACATTTTATAGGACATGGCAAACAGTTTTAACGTACATGGAGAGTTTGAAACTGTCTTCTCTTCCCGAACTGATTCTTCATTTCTTATTATTTTGTTTCAAACTGAAGTAGAACACACATTTTTGTTGTTGTTGTCTTTTAGTTTTTTGTGCTGTGATTTCAACTATCTGTTTGTCTATCATTTTAAACTGTTGTTGTACTATTCATCTTGTCTTATTCTGTAGGGGGGGGGGGGTTAAAACAAATTGACAACCTGCAAAACCGTTTTTTTTGTCATTGAAACTGTATGTGTTGTTGAAGAAAAAGTTTTTTTTAAAAAGCCATTTGAGACGTGAGAAGTGGTAAAATGCCGACTTATTTCCGTGATGGAGGACTCATTCCTGCACCACCTAATTGTTTATTGACTCACCCATTCAGTGGTGTTGACCAGGGAGCTGGAGGTGGGCTGCAGGAGGCAGGTCGACCTGTAGGGGGCGCCCTGGAACCTGGAGAACAGAGGAGGAGAGACATCAGAAATCAATCGGGTTGACTCGTACGAGGAATCTGACTTGATGTCACGGTGCGTACATTCTTTTCATTTCTGTTGTACCTATATGTTCACTTGGTTTATATCGTTGCATCGACTGTTGTCTTGTCTGTCAGAGAGAAACCATTATTTATTGTATTATCATTCCTTTTACCTCCTTGTGTCTATCTAATAAAAGGTTATATTTTGCTGCATGTACCTTTTAAAGTTCTTAAATAATCTGAGGGGAATTTCTCCTCGTTTGTTTTGAACTTGTGATGCGTCATTTTGTAAAGCACTTTGAGCTGCATGTGTTGTATGAAAAGTGCTGTATAAATAAAGCTTTATTAGTATTAAAGTAAAATAAAAAAGTAAAAAACACAGATGGAGAACCATTTTAAGAAAACTATAATATAAAAAATATTTACACATCAGTCCCAATTTCTCTTTCTTTAAATTTAAAAAAAAATCTACCAGATTCACAGGCCATAAGACATTCATCTGTTTGCAACTCATATATATATCTATTCCAATTACTGTATATAGACTATTCTGCACAGTTTCTATTTCTATTATGTTTTAAAGGTCACCTATCATGCTATTTCTAGGCAATAGCATAGGTCTCATATATATAAAAACCATGTCTATGAAGTGTTTTGCTCAAAATACCAAACAGATCACCCATTCTAGCCATGCCTCATATCCCTCTATTTCACTTCCTGTTTCAAAAGTGCTGATTCTGGGTATAAAGCTTTAAAAAAAAATAATAATTTAAAAAAAAGGAGGGGTCTGAGCTCATGCGGGACCCGGCAGCTACTGTCTAAACTAAATGCTGCCGTGATGAAACGCCATATCATGGATTATCAAGGGTTCTCTCTGAAACAGTCTGGAGCTCAAAGGCTTTCTCTCTTGCCGGTTATACCACAAGGTGAGTTCCTTTTTACTTCCTGCTTCTTCACACACATGCTCTCCAGTACAGGTTAGCTCTGAGTGTTAGCGATGCTAATGTAAACACCGACCATATTACGTCCAAAACAGTCGGGCATTGTTTCTGATAGCAACGTTTCTGATTGGGCCGTGGGTCCACATTTCAGATATTACGTCATATCGGACGCAAATCTGGATCAGCTCCGTTGTTCCCCCGTTTTTAGAGATTTGGGTACGGAGGAAAAGAGAGAGGGTTTTATTTTCTAACGCTGCGTGAGTTCCCTGACACACCGGGGACACATGTTGATGTATAAAAGAAATCACAAAGTGCATTTTGCATGATAGGTCCCCTTTAAGTTATTTACTATTTTATCTGTTTTATTGTGTTGCACTGTTGGAGGAGGAGCCTGTGACCTAAGATTTTCATTGTCATAACTACACTATGTACACATGACAATAAAAGCCTTGAAAAATAAACGTTTACTGACCCGAGGTCTCTGAAGGGAACCTCGAACTCCAGCTCCTCTTTAGTCAGCGTCTCCACCTTCTCGATGAAGTTCTTGAAGGCCGACTTGAGCTTGTGTCTCATCTCTCGCTCCATCTGCTCGGCGTACAGGTCGTCCCGGTCGTGCATGTGCTGGTGTTTGCCCAAATCTGTGGTGATCTCCCCGACCTCGGTGTAGAACTGGACGTCCGTGTGGCGCCTCTTCCCGAACATGATGGCGTTCTGGAGGGGAAACGCGTGACGGACAAAATGAGGCATTGAAAATCCTGACGTTGAGAATGCTTCTCTTGAGGCTATTTGTATTGCATTTGGTATCAAAAAGTATCCCAAAGTCTGTGGTTTCTGCCGGTTTTAAAAGTAAAAACTATCTGTATTTACTTTTAAAACCGGCAGAAACCACAGACGTATCTTTAGAGCATTGTTACAGAAAAAAGTGAATCTTTAAATGTTTCAGTTTAACAGGTTTTAATGCTGTAAAGCAGGTTAAAAACTGCATTTCCTGCTCATTTTGGAACCAAAAAAAGAAGATTTTTTGTTGATTTGCTGCTCTAAAAGTAACATTGGTTGCAGCTCTAATTGATATATTCACATCCTCATAGTGTAGAACCAATAAAGCTATACGTATCAAAACTATCCCAAAGTCTGTGGTTTCTGCCGGTAAAAACTATCTGTATTTATTTTTAAAACCGGCAGAAACCACAGACTTTGGGATAGTTTTGATACCAAATGCAATACAGTTCATATTAGGGCTGCAACTCATTTCTTTTGAGTTGGATCTCTAAAATATCAGAAAATGGTGAAATAATGTACATTCTAGTAGGGCTGCTCAATTAATCGTATTTGAATCGCGATTACGATTATGGCGTGCAACGATTACGAAAACAACGTAATCGAAATGATTATTTTTTTATTACTTACTTAAAGTTAAACATACTGTTCAAAAAAATGTTCTCCAATAAATGGATGTTTTCAAAGTCAATGAATAATCGCAATTACAATTATTGACCCAAATAATCGAGATTATGATTTTTGCCATAATCGAGCAGCCCTACATTCTAGTTTCTTAATGTGAGGTATTAAAATGTGTTTAAGTTTTAAGGCTGTAAAGCAGGTAAAAACAGCAGGGATTTTCTGTTGATTTGCTGCTCTAAAAGTGGTTACAGCTCTAATTGATATATCCACGTAGTGTTGAACCAATAAAGCTACCCTGAGGTGGAAGTGAAGGACGATGATCATCTCCCCGTCGCACGGCTGGAAGAGGGCGTGTTTGATGTTGTTGTAAAGGATGTCCACTTTGTCTCCGCGGACCGACGTGAAGCGGAAACCTGTGCGAAGAGAGGAAGTTTAAATAAAAAGAAACTCTAGAATAAAGCTTCACTTTATGTGGAAATCCTCCACTTTCTCACCGTTGGTGTGCGCCTCCAGGGAGCCCTGCATCCTCTTCTGGGCGATGTTGGGTCGGATGTAAAGATCTTTGAGTTTGGGGTTGCTGCGGTTCAGGTTGATGACGAGCGAGTCCTGCTTCACGATGCCCTCCTTCTCCTTTTCCTCGGCCTCTCGCGTCTTGTAGCGCTTCTGGACCTCCTTGATGATGCGGAAGGCGTTCTGCAGGTTGGTGGAGGGCACCGAGGGGTCGCCGGGGGTCTTCAGGTTGGACGCTCGGTACGTGCTGAGGGGGGAAAGAGAAGGGAAGTCAAGGAGGGGGGAATGGTCGATAAAACAAGACCCTTTTTAAATCACTGAGAAATGTGGATTAATGTCCAGTGCTGTCATCAATTCAAAGCCATTCAAACAATAAGGTAGGTCTAGTGCAGTGCTTCTCAAAGTGTGGTCCGCGGACCACTGGTGGTCCATGAGCGCCCCCTAGTGGTCCGTGAGTATATTGGTAACATTTCACATTTGAAATAAATAAATAAATGTAAGTTTTCCGCACTCTCACGGGAATATCTCCGCAATGGAGCGAGCTTAAGTTCAACTTTCTATTGCATGATAAAGCCCAGTGCAACACCTTCGTCACACATGTTGCCACCTGTTTGTACCATTTTCAAGCGATTTGTAATCTGTTCTAGAAAAACGATGTGTTTTGGGATATTTGTGGAGTTAGGTGGTCCGTGAGTGTTTTTTTATTGGTTAAGTGGTCCTTGGTATGAAAACGTTTGAGAAAATGGAAAATGCTTTTATCCATGTACTTTTTTCTTTTAATGTTTAATTGACAGCACTGTAACTTGTATCCATGTATTTTTTCTTTTAATGTTTATTTTATTAGCTTTTCTTTTTAATGACTGATTTTAAATGCCATTTTCTTAATGTCTTTCATTTTTTGTAAAGCACTTTGAATTGCCTTGTGTTGAAAAGTGCTATATAAATAAACTTGCCTTGCCTTGCCTTGCCTTATCGACGCTTCCATCCGTCCGTTTTTTAAAACAACATTTCCCACTGTTGTTCACTGTGGTTTGTTGTTGTCTGAAGTCATGAACGTTAGTTGGTGCTCCAGTATAATCGGTACGCCTGAAACTCATCCAGTGAGAAACGTTCCGCGGTGAAAAAATAAGTGCGATTAAAATGCGTTAATTTTTTTAACGCGTTAATTTTTGTGTAATTAATTAATCTTAATTAACGCGTTAAAGTCCCGGCCCTAATATATTTATATATATTTGTTATCTTTTAAATGCTATTTTATTTCTATTTCTGATATATTGGACTGTTTATTTCTTGTGTCTTAATTTCTCTTATGTACATTGCCTTGTGTTTTTTATGCTGCTGCAACTCAAACATTTCCAAAATTGGGATCAATAAAGTATCTACCTATCCATCTACCTTAAAAGAAAATAATGACACCATTTTTATATATTTTTCAATGATATTGCAATGTGAATAATATTTTTAAAAAAGGGCCCTATTATGGAAAATATGATATTTGTATTATGTGGGTGGAAAGATAGATGATTGATAGACTAGTACTTTATTGATCCCAATTAGTGTTCTGTGAACCTTAAAAGAAAATGGCATTGTTTGTTACTTTCATTGCAACATGTCTTAACTTCCTGTTTTATTTAGACATGCTTTTATTTTGAAGGCGACTTTGCACTATTGGCAGGAAGTTACCAAAGCAAAACTTGACGGAGAAAAAGTACAGATATTAACGGAGATATCAACATTTAAAACGGCGATATCAAAAGATCAAATGTACGTTTAAGTATTAGCAAGAGGCACAAGGTTAAATGTAATATAAAAATAATTCGTTTATTATAACTTTGCTAACTATTTGAAGCTCACTTGTTTAATAGTATTCTAAAGTAATGCTCATATGGATGTAGCTTCAATGTATTTGTTGTTTTGTGTAGCTCTTAAAATAGTTTTTTTCAATAAATTAGAAATCATCAGTCAAGTGTACGACCATCTTTCGGAGGGATATGCGACAGTTTAAAAATAGTCAATCGAATCAAGTTGACTTTTTCATTTTGATAGAAAAACAACAAACAAATCTCCATCCAACTAAAAGAACATCTAAATATCAAACGTAGGCATTTCAAATTCAGAAAATATTATCTGAACAACTCGCGAATAATTAAGACTCACATTTCTTTAACGAAGGTGGCGTCGGGGTTGGGGAAGATGTTCCCCTCCTGTCGTCCCAGAGAGCTGCCCGGGACGTAGAAGTTGATCCTCAGGTAGGTGTAGTCTCCTTCTACGGACATACTGATGTTCTGCACGGGCACAAAAAGTCAAAGATATATACGTCAATATGGAAGATGTCGCGTCATATAATCATTTAAAACATATAGTCTTATACTCCGATTGCCTTTTACACCGTTACATTGTATTTGAAGTGTTGCGTGTGTTTGACAGAGACATATGTTAAGGACTTACTTTGCAGGAGGGCAAAGGAAGTGTAAAAGGGGGATTTGCAAATGGCTAAAGGACGAGGGGGTTTTATGGTGGAGATGTTTGGATCAGTGGTTCCCAACCGGGGGCACGGGGACCCCTAGGGGTACTTGAGGGGATCGCAGGGTGTACACAGGTGCCTGGTTGCGTTCTAAAAATAGCGCAAGTCATCGCCAGATAAATAAATAACTTTTGTCTTAAATGAATAAAGAAAATAACAATGTTTCTTTTCAAATATGACAGAAAAAAAAGGGGACTGTTCAGAGGGGAGGGGTCTTCTCCTACAAAAAAAGACATTATTGGCTTCCTAAACAAGTAGTGAGTCTTAACAATACATTACATGTCATTTGTTAGACGCTTTTATCCAAAGCGACTTACATACATTCAGTACTGTGGGCAATCCCCACAGGAGCCATTTGAGGTGAAGTGTCTCAGGGACACAACGACATGCTGACTGCAGCGGGACTCGAACTTGCTACCCCCGGATTCGAAGTCCAGCACACTATCCACTAGGGCTGTGCGATTATGGAAAAAATCATAATCACGATTATTTGGGTCAATAATTGATATCACGATTATTTTGACGATTATTCATTGACCATTTATTGAACTTTAAAACAAATAATATTTTACCAATAAACAAGATCAACAAATATGTTGGAGCGCACTTCCAAAACCATACTAAACATATATTAATATGATAAATAAAAATAAATTAGACCAAAATAAATGAAATCAAATATGATGCAGTGCACTGTCACAACCTACTGAACACTCCTTAACATATAGCCAACATTTTGGTAAAACATATTCAACATATTCCACTCAGTTAAACGTTGAAGGCTGGCCAACCGTCATGGTCCAGAAGTAACAGGAAATAAATGTTGAACTACAATTTAAGACCAAATAAAAATGTTTAGGCCACCATGGCAAATGCTGGTAGGGCTGCTCATGTCATCTCTTAAAGATTGTTCGCAAGAAACACCAGGCTGTTTACATGGTCTGGTTTCAGAGATGAGCGCAGGCAGGTGACGATATTGCCACCTGTACTGAAGACCCTCAGCCACGCCCCGACACATGGGGTGACGCCGGCCAATCACAAAGCTTTGATGCGTTCAAGTGCATTATTCTGGCACAGGAAGATTATGTTACAGGACATTAACGATAAAACAGAATATTGTTGTTCTATTTTTAGACACATCTCGCGATCGACTGGTTGGGCACCCCTGGGCTAGACCATAGGTCCGTTGTGGTCGCAAAGTAGTCAGCTGAAGCCACATCTCTCTCAACTTCCCCACGGCATTTGTCATATAGCGCAGGCAGCGCAGACCTGCTGAAATAATCCCGAGACGGCATCGCGTAACGCTTGTCCAACGTGTTGACAAGTTGCTTAAAGCCCTGGTTGCTAACAGTGCTAACTGGGCACATATCTTTAGCGATGTGGAATGTAATGGCAAAGTACTTGCAAATAGTGGAAATAGTTTTACCCTTCTTTTTAACGAGTTGCTGCTCTTGTTCTGACATCTTCGCTCGCGCTGAACACTCACAACTAGTGATGTGTCGGTCGCGAACGAGCCGGCTCAAAGAGCCCGCTTATTACACATTCTCAACAAAGTAACGACATGACTCCCAATATTAATTGAAATGCTTTTATTGATTTAGAAAATTATTTTATTGATTAAAAATAGTTGTATGTATTGATTTAAATTGACATGCATCCGCTAAGAAAAATAGTCCGTTGTTACCGTTTGAACTACGTAGCAACGGCAGGAAGGCGGAGCTTTTTGATTACAGATTTGAAAACATCGCTGCTTGCTTTAAAAGTAGCACAATTAATTATGTCAAACCTTGGAAAGTATCTAGATATCCCTGCCCTAATGCAAAAGTAACTGGCAACTGAATATGTGTCGCCGTTTGATGTCTATGTCTGGACCGCTGCGTAAAAAGGAGGGTTTCTGCCCCATTACTTCTCTTCTTACTTCTATAAGAATAAAACACGGAGGAGGGAGATCTCTTTTTCTCCCCCTCTTCTGAGAGCCCAGCAGCTGATCTCAGAGCACGCTCCCCTCTCATGCAGGGGGGCGTGGTTTCTATAGCTAATAGTTACTGAAATAGAGTCCTGCTGTTTTGTCAGGGCCTTTTCTTTAAATATAATTTTAAAATGTCGATACAGTAGCCCCTTTTTTAAAATAGCCTAGTTTTTATAGGTGTTGCTATCTGTTTTGTGTAGTGTGGTTCTACAAGCAAGTCAGTGCATTCATTGGGTGGTATCAGAGATTTACAAGGGTCTGTAAATGCATTGAAAACATTTGGCCACAGCAAATCATTTATATTAAACATGTAATTTTCACTTTTGAATACTTCAGTACAAAGGATGTATTGAATAATTTAAGTGATATATGTGTACACATATACATCATTCATTAGTCAAAACAGGGCTACATTTGATTGAATTAAAAGGTATAATAAGTGGTAAACTGAAGAGCCGTTTGGGAGCCGAAAGAGCCGGCTCTTCTTGGTGAGCCGAGCCAAATGATCCGGCTCACCAAGAAGAGCCGGAATTCCCATCACTACTCACAACACATGTCACTCCCACGTGGCCGAGTGGGCTTTTAGGGAGGGGCGAAAGCGCACCCAGCAAAATAATCGTATTTTGTCAATTATGCTGTTTTCATAATCGTCGCAAGCCATAATCGTAATCGCGATTAAAATACGATTAATTGCACAGCCCTACTATCCACTGAGCCACAGCCCTACATTTCCTCCACAGAAGATAACGAGGCGAATAAATAAACCAAACGCTGGTGTTCAGCAGAGGATCATCTCAGTTTACCTTGATGGTGGCGATGTGGAACGGCGTCGCGATCCCAAAAACGGGCATAACGACGGTCTCGTACTTCTTGTCGATGAAGATCTTCATGTCTCTGATGTCCTTTTCTCTGGGCATCTGAGAGACGTTCTTATAGGACACGTTGGACTTCCTGGCCCTGGAGAGGAGACGAGAGAAGACTTCATTAAAGACAAGTCACTTAATCACATGTGGGAATCCATGGCTGCTCACTGCTGTGTTTGAGCACCAGTCAAGGGATATTTGGGCACTTATTAAACCACTTATGATTACAGAAATACTGATCTAAGTCAGTGAGGGTTGAGCCACATTGACATGGATCCAACAGCTTTCAATACTCTGATATATTAATAATACATTGTGCTTTTCCTCATGCTCAAAGACACTTTACCTAAAATCATATACGATGTTTCGATGCACAGCCTTAGAGGAAAATCGTTAAATTAATGGTTAGTATAATAAATGCTGACGTCTCATTTTCAACGTAATTTTTTGATTGACAGTATCAGAAATCTATTGACAAACATGTAATGCTTCGTTCACACACCTGAACAGAAGCGTGTGTGTGTTTTGTAAGGTGCTAGTTGTGTACGACAAACACACCGAACGAAGGCTAGGAAAAACAAAAAAGGTCGCGATTTTATAAAGCTTACCGTTCTCAAAAGTCTCAATTTAAAAACATGTGCTTGTTTCCAAGTGTGTTGCCTAAATGTCATTTGATAATCTGAAGATCTAGGTCCTTTTCTCATATATGGAGGAACAGGTATTTCGGTCTTAATGTGTGCAATGTGTCTTTAACTCTGTATACATATTTGCACACGTATTTTTATATTGGGGATCGTGGGAAACGGTATTTCGATCTCTCCGCCTGGACACACAAACTGGAAGATTGACAATAAAGTGGACTTTGAACAGCTGGCGTTTAATCGGATCAATGACAGAGATACATGTGTCTGTAGTCTAATGCAGTGTTTTTCAAAGTGGGGGCCCCGACCCCCCGACAAAGTTTGAGGGAAAGGGAATTTTTTTTTATAGATGTTATTAATAACTGCATATCTATCTATGTGTCCTTTGATGCCAATCTTTTAATATTTTTTGGTTTTTAAATCACACGACCGCCCTTCAAGCCAATCAGAATCGAGCTGCCGCTACTGAGAGTGAAACTGAGTATCTGCTCAGCTTTTGGAGCAAGTGAGAGCTAGTGAATATTTCGCTCTGCAGCTGGATGAGAGCATGGATGTAGCAAATATTGATGTTTATATATATATGAATATAAATATGTTTATTGTTAATATTACTGTTGAATATTATATGTAATATTATGAAGGCATAAGTAGCTTTCAAAAATGCTAAAAATATATGTTAATTGTTCATATTACTGTTCAAGATTATATAATATTATAAAGACAGAAATCACTTTAAAAATATGTTTACTGTTGATATTACTGTTTAATATTGTGTTAAGAATGTTTATAACAGAAGACACAATGAATGACAAACAAAAGATAAATACAAAAACTGATTATTAATACAAATATATATTAAGAAAATATATTAAGCTGTATAATTAGTCATATTTTCCATCATAGTACTCATCATTAAAAAACAAAAATGGCAACAGGGGGGTCCCCGCCAGAGGATAATGCTATATGGGGTCCTTGTCATGGCAACGTTTGGGAACCCCTGGTCTAATGAACGTTGAGGTCCTCCATCGCTACACCCCAGCCAGAGCTTTTATTTGTGCTGTTGTAAAGTGTTTTTATTGTAAAGTATTTTTAAACTGCCTAAATCGTGCACGTCCGCCGAAACACTTCCTATTTTTAAATCCCGACTAAAAACGCACCTATTTGCCGCTGCTTTTAATTGAGCTGCCCTACAGTATGCCTTTCAGTCATGTATTCTGTACCTGCTGTGTTTATTTTATTTCCTTTGCTTATTATGCCCGTTTTAAAAATTGTAATAATGTATTTAATGCTGTATTTGTTCTTAAATGTCTTTTGCTTTTAATCTGTAAAGCACTTTGAATCGCCACGTGCTGAAAAGTGCTATATAAATAAACTTGATTTGCTTTAACACTCACTTCTGAATCTCCTGCTCTCCTTTCTGCTCCGTCAGACGCCGCTTTGCTTCTTCGTTCAAATTGTTGGCCAGCTCCCTCTGGTGGGCTCGCCTCTTCTCCTCCGCCGTCATCTCGTTCTGAGGTTCGACAACAGAAAGAAATGAGTGATGGCGCTCCGAAGAAAAACACAGGAATTTGTACACAGGATGGGAGAAAAGCAAAAGAACAACACACATGCAGAATGTGAACATGTGTTACACGCAGTACTCGAGTTGAGGGGGGATGAGGGGGGATGGCATCCCCCCTGAAATAAAAACGGTCAAAATCATCCCCCTTCTAAAACTGCCATTCCCCTTTCCATCCCTTATGTAATTGTATCAATGAACGTGGCACTGGTATTTCTGCTATTTCAACATTAATTTTGCGCATTTTGAGTAAAATACTGTGAGCGAGGGAGCACGCACACACGCAATGACATGTTTACCAAGTCACTGACGCTATACTATGCGAGTGCCCTAGAGGGCGCCAGAGCGACATGATGCGCCTGTTTGATCGATGCCAGAAGCGCAGGTAACGGTCATCACAATGGCCAAGCGACCAGGAGGACAACGCGATCTGAGGGACTTCATATTTAAAAATACTAAAAAATAACATTTCAGGTAAGTCAAGAGTCAGTAATCTTAGTCATTACTCACTACTTTAGTCACCAAAGGTGGAATCTATGGACATAAGCAGCAATAACAACTTAGTGTGGAGTTATACGTTTTTCTCTCGTGTTAGCTAGCTGGTAAGACTCAAAACTGTTGATGAAATGATACCACCAGCACCAGAAGAGCTGAAACCCCTCCTTCAAGCAGTGAACACTCTTGGTCATCTCCACAGCTGAGTGTGAACGTGGGTTTAGTCAAATGAATATTTAACCACAACTAGAAGCTCCCTAGAGGTAAAAAGCATGTCAGCCTTGCTTTTCATCAAGTGTGTTGGCCCTCCACTGAACAAGTTCAGATCAGAGGTATATGTCAGAACTTGGCTTCAAAGCCATTGCTTAGCTAACAATCCGAAAGCAAGAGCCAGAACAATTGAGACCAAAAAGCATGATTATGAAAATCTTTGGAAACGTCTATGAGATGGGGGAGAGTGGAGTAGGCAGCCATTGACAACATTGGTCCTATTTTGTATTATCTGTATAATCTTTTAATATTTTGTAAACAATTTCAATTTGCACTTAATGCCCTGTTAAAAAAAGTAACATTGGGAATGTTAACATAAAATATTTGTATTTGAACTGCAATAAAATGATGACGGATCCATTTTTTCATGAAGTGTTTAATTTACATAATGATTTAATTAATTACGATACAAAGTTAACCCTTTAGATACCAGTTTTGATCGTATACCAGTAACTGCTTTTTTGAAAAAATACACTATAATTCAATATTCTAAAAACTATTTTGACTTTATTATTAGTGTAATCAGCTGATCCATCTGAATAATAAATGAGGGACTGTTTTGTACCATAGACTTCCATTATAACCACATTTTTGTATCCCCTCCCCCCCTTTAAATTAAAGTCAAAAAAAGATTTTGCACTAATTGTCCTCTGCATTTGACCCTAAATGTTAGTGGTGCCATGGCAGCCAAGGGACCGACTCTAATTCTGAGGTGCCTTGGTCAAGAGCAATGAAAGGAGTATCTGAACATCCATAACATGCATGTTGTTTTAGGAGTATAATAATGATCTTTATGCTGGTTGGTCTCCCACCCATCAGCACAAATTATGTCCCCATATGATCAAATCCACCATCCCCCCTGATTTTTTTTTACAACTTGAGTACTGGTTACACGGCTTACACGGCTTACAAGGCACACAAAAACCGACTCACTCAAAGAAGGAAAAATGACAAAAAAGGCGTATTTCTTTTTCCCCCCATCAGTAAGTGGAATCTTAGAAATAAACCAGATGAGATTTTAGACAAAAAAGCATTAAATACTTACCTTCCCAAGTAGCTGGTAAGGTACAAAAACATTCACACCCTTAGTTATAAGCACTCTGTAAAAGCTGCCAAATAACATTTTAGTTATGGAAAAATTAACATTTGCTCTGACGGCCCGTCCACACAGCGGCGTGCGTTTCACTTTGAATGGGGTGACGTCACTTTTCGCCGAACTGCATTGTGGGAAGCGACGCGGGGCTTTGCTGGCGTGGCTCGCTGCAAAAGTTGAGCAATGTTCAACTTTTGAAGCCTCGGCCAATCGAATCATATGCCAGTACAAGCTCTAGCCAATCAAACCGCTGCTTGTGTGTCAGGGGCGGGAGATTCATGTGATTGGTTGTTGGTCGAGTTTCAAGCTTCAACGCACGCCGCTGTGTGGACGGGCCGGAAGACTCAAGACAGACACATTTGACAAGTGTTGGAAGGGATGGATCGAGTTTGTCAACCCGTATAGATCAGACTTCAGCTCTATTTGTGATTTAACCCCCTGGTTCTCTGCTACACACAGCTGTCATGTTCGTTTGTCTGTATGCGTGATTCACATTATTTGCTTTGTATTATTTCAAAAAAATGTAAGATGGTCTGTAACTGTTCATTTTTGTATGCAAATAAAAAATAAATATATTTTAAAAAGTGCCAAATAAACTGATCACAAGTCGCACACACACACACACACACTTACTCTGGTCCTGTCTGCCAGCAGGGCGGCGCTGCGAGCTCCTTTTCCCAGCAGCTCCTCGGCATCGTCTCCTTCCTCCTCCTCATCCTCCTCATCGTCATTCTGGAGAGCACGAGAAAACAGAAAAATGTTCAACACCAAATGGGGAAATTATAAGAAATCTGGGTTTTACAAAATCATGAAAATAGTTATTTATTGAATAATTAAAAGCAAAGAAAAAGTAACATGGCAGGATACAGCGGGGGAAAGCGGAGATGGCAGCAGAATTAATAATCCTATAACAAAACAAAAAGTGGACTTTTATTTACCGTCAACTCTCAAATACTCGTAGAAGCCTTAAAGGGGGCTCATTTTCTAAATTCTTGAATGTATGTAGTGTCTCTACCGTGACGTGTCTCCATGTTTTAATGTTCAAAAAGCTCTATTTTCCTCATACCGCCTGTTCTGTAGCACTTCTATATGTGGAGAGAAACTCTGTGGGATTTTAGCCTTTGTAGACCATTGACATGCACAAAAACCTAAATAACACACTAGGGCTGTACCCGAATATTCGTTCGTTGGAGTACTATTCGGGTTTCAATTTCGTTATTCGGATATTCATTTTTCCCCCGTTTTTTTTTCAAATTGAATTTATTGAAATCTCCAATATCAACGTAAGAGCTTGTGCCTCTTCGGGGGGTGCTAACACTTAACCATAAACGTTATCGTTTACTTTCTCCGTCTTTATATGTAGATATTACTTTTCTCCGTTAATCCCCGTCACGTTGTTTCCAAAGCAACAACAACTTCCTGTCAACAGCGCTACCTCTCCTTCAAAATAAAAGCATGTCCATAAATAGAAAGCCAAGCCAAATTACACTTAAGACATATACAACTGCAACGAAAGTAACAAACACAATGCGATATCCTTTTCAATTTCAAACAACACAAATTGGGTTACATTAACAAATAACTATAAAACAACAATACTGTAGAATAACTAAATTAATGCCGTGAATACACGTGTTGAAGCGCTTTACCCCCCCCCCCCCCCCTCCCTCAATATTCGCTGCTGATTACTACCGAATATCCGGAGCCCGAAAAATGGTATTCGGGACAGCCCTAGAACACACACTACAGGAAGGGGAAATCCCCAAAAAGCATGGCCCCTTTAATTGAACCCTACGGCAGAGACCTTCATTGGAAGCAGGCTTTCATGTCCAATTCTCTGACAAGTACATTTTCTCTTATTTTAGAAAACGCTTTGTTTCTGATCTGCTCCAATTTGCCTTAATAGATCTTTGTTCCTGCATTACGCTGTTAATACAAACTCAACACATCCTTTATCAAATTATAAGCGCTCTAGAATTTCCTCAAAATAGTACACTGAGCAGGAGAGTCAAACACATTTTCCTTATCAGCAGTTCATACAGTGCCTATCTATTCTTTATTTTCTGAAGGAAGGATGGTGGAGTGTGTGTGTGTGTGTGTGTGTGTGGTGTGTGGTGTGTGTGTGTGTGTGTGTGTGTGTGTGTGTGTGTGTGTGTGTGTGTTGGCCTATGATATCGCTCAGACAGGAAGGAAGTTCGGCTTTTTAGCACTGGCTTTCCTTACTGCTAAATCTCTCTTACCAAACACACACCCGATCATTTGAAACATTTGCGTGATCATGTGACTTTAGGGATTACAAAGACACGTACCTTCAAGAAGATTCCCACATTTTTGATCTTTTTCTTCACGGGTGTGAGTATCGTGGCGGCGTCCTCCTGTTACAACATATTTTAGGGTTGTGATTAATATGTGAATAAGTTTGCCGTCTTTGGTGACTTCTCGGCAGGAGGATAATCTTACCTCGTTGATCTGTATTGTGTCGCCGATAAACAAGGCGTACTTTTTCTGCTCGTCCTTCTTGGCTTCTTTGTTCACGAGGTCAGCGAAACCCAAACTGATGCTCAACACCATGCCTGGAGGACACAGATACATGTTCGAACACTTTCTTAATGGATTTAACCTTTTTTAAAGAGTTTTGAGCGATGAAACATAACGATTTTAAATCTGAAGGTGCAAAATATTCACCTTTTTTCAGTTTGTACTGGTTTTTGGCGTTTAGAACCAAGGAGCCTTCTCTGAACTCGATTCCCATTGCAAAGCTACAAGCAACAACAAATGAAGATGTGAGACAACTGTGTGTGTGTGTGTGTGTGTGTGTGTGTGTGCCCACATTTGGGGAAGAAATATGTAATTTCTGTGCTTTTACCCGAGGTTTTTGGTCAGCTTTGCCACGAGTTCCGACTTCTCCTTCTTCACGTACTCCTGAGCGGCGTTGTAGGCGTCGCTGATTTTCACACCTGTGGAGAGAAAGAGGTTTATAAAACAGAAAAACACCCCAAAAATGTCACTTTTATGTCAGCAACACTTTGTTCTAGTTTCCGTTCTGCTTAAACGAAACATTTCTGATAATGGAGACATTTTAATCAGTTTTCAAGCAAAAAGACAAATATTTTAGATTGTACTTTGTTGTTTTTGACAATATTTAAGTTACAGCAACACTTTGTCCTAGGGCTACTCAATTCATCGTATTTGAAATCGCAATTACGATTATGGCTTGCAACGATTACGAAAACAACGTAATCGAAATATAACGATTATTTTTTTTTTATATAAAATGTATTTATTTTTATTTAATTGGTTTTTCAGTTGAGTAATATTTAAAGTTCAGGGTAATCAACTGTTAAAAACATACTGTTGAAATGTTTTTCTCCAATAAATGTATGTTTTCAAAGTCAATGGGTAATCGTTTTTAATAATCGTGATATCAATTATCCACCCAAATAATCGAGATTATGATTTTTGCCATAATCGAGCAGCCCAACTTTGTCCTAGTGCTGCGAGTTGATTTCTGTCCCGTTGAAACACCGCATATCTGATAATTGAGTGACACTTCAAAAAGCCACATTTTAGATTTTACGCGTTTAAAAATGAGGATTTTTATGCCTTTCTTTGTTGTTTTTAACAGTATTTAAGGTTTGTACAGTTGTTTGAATTAAAAAAGCATTATAAAAACATGTCCTTCTGCTCCTAAAAGCTGCCATGGGCATTAGCCTTAAAAAGCGATGAATCACGAGAATACTCTACACAATAATGAATAATTGAACTTTTCTGCCCCTGATTAGAATAGAATAAAATCCTTTATTGTCATTATACGAGTACTAGAGCTACTCCTTTTTTTAAGGTGCCATCACAAATACAGAAAACCAAAACAAGAGACGTGCAACATTCAGGAGAAGACAACATACAAACGTTCATACTTCAATATCCAGATGAAGTTAAAGTGCAGGAATATATGGGCTGAACTCACCGTGTTTGAGGTGTTTGAGCAGCTCCTCCTCCACCAGGAGCAGGAAGTTGTAGTTGTCCTGCATCTCCTGGGGGGGGTCGACCATGAGGGTGCGCACCAGGTTGGAGCAGTACGACTTGTAGCGGATCCCCATGGCACACGTGATGGCACCGAAGTGCATGTGGTTCTTGTCGCTGGAACAGAAAAGGGAGAAGTGTTTGTTAAAACGATGACCTGGGTAACATTCAATGATCGTAGAGAGTGGTGCAGTGACGAGTCCTAAAACCCAGAAGTGAGTCAGCATGTCACCACTTCCTGTTCCCTCGTCTCAGAGCCAATGGGATCTCTCCATAGCATTTTGGAAAATAGCTGGAAATGAGGTCTGTGGTTGAAACACATTTAAGAGACGGGTCACGTTTTGTTCTACGATATTAAATCCATCAGCAGTGAAAAACGATGGTTGTTACCAAGTGGCTGAATAGGACTACAGAAGTTGTCGAGGACGATGTACGTCGTTACCCCGAACACCTCCTGCTAACTGTTCAAACAAACGCTTCAACTTGTACAATTTTTTATTTGGAAATTGTCGTTTTTAACACTGTAGTTTTACAAATCATAGAATAATTAATTAACAGTGTTTTCCAATTTGTTTTACCGTAACAGTTTAAACACATTTTCTTCAACCATTTTATTTTAATGTCCGTGTAAAAATACCAAACATTCCCGAGTCCCACGTACATGCTTTTCTGTTTGTAAATATGACAATAAACTAAATATGATTGAGTTTTGAATTATTGTCCTGACAAACAAGCTATTTGAAAACGTCTTCTTGGTGTTTTATAGAGATCTTGAGGAGCATTTGTTCCTATTTTATTGGACCAAACAATACATGGAGAGCCGAATGAACAGAAAATCACAAGTTGCAACTCTAAGAAAGTCAAACTTTTCAATTCAAGCAAACTAAATGTTAAAAAGTAACCCTCTACATGTGCCAAAATTAAAAAAGTCACATTTCAGCTTTATCCAAAATCACGTCTGTTACCTGACGACGCTGAACTTAAGGCTGTAGTTCCCTCCGCTCTGGATGATGGGGGGGTAACACATCTCCACGGTAGAAGGGTCTGCACCCCCCAGGTACTTCTTCTCCTCGATCGCCTTCTCCACCGACTCCGCCAGCTTACTGTGACGCACTTTCTGTTGAGGAGAAACAAGAGGGGAATGAAGTATCTGGATTTTGTTTTTTCCTGTATAAATTACAAGCCATGTCCCATTATACAACTCCAGACAAATGACCTCCAAATGTAGGAGTATATGGTTCAATAAAGCTTCAATCAGGATACAAAAAACATGTGCCATGATACGACACAATGTTAATGCTAATCAGCAGAAATTGTTCCAGGATGCTGAGATTTTTTGTTAAATTAACTAATTTTGCACAAGTTAACTTATTCTCAATTGAAATCAGACTAATTCATAGTATAGTTTATTTAAATATTTTTTTTTTTTACCTAGCTTGGGATATTTTTGATGCGCGACATTGATTTGCAGTTAGTCGGATAATGTGACGGTCTTTTTCCTCACAAGCTGAAAAAAGTGTTTCTAGTTAAATATCGTGGCGCATTTCAACAAACTGTTTGCCACAAAGTAATAATTAGTGGTGCACGATAATTATCGGCCCGATATTAGGAATTATGACGTCATCCCGATAAATCCGATAACAGTATTAATAGCCCCGATAATATACAATATATTTTTTGGGTAAAAAAAAGAAAACAATACTGCGGTGTGGGTGGATTGGGATGAGGGGCGCTTGTTTTTCACTCGGCTCCTCCCGTTTTGCCAGTACTGTGGTATTAGTGGTTTAGGAAGAGGGGAGTTCTTCACAAATCCAGCGCTCCCTAACTCATGCTGGCTGTGACGTAAATGGTGTGCGGCCGTGAAGCCAGGACAGTAAACAAACATGTCGCCGGTAGTATGGGACTATTTCAAAGTTTCAGAGTTCGCTTGCTATTTGTATTAACAAATGCAGAAGTTCCACGAGGAGGGAAAAAGGCAACGAGCTATAATACTTCCAACCTGATTAGTCACCTGAAACATCGCCATCGCTACGATGGTGTGTTAAAAGCGTACGAAGACGCCTGCGCTGCTAAACTAGCGGCGAATCCAAAGCCAGCTGCAAAGGCACCGGGGCTTTTACCTATCGACGAGGCTTTTGAAAAGGCAAGAAGTTTGCCAGAGACGACCCCAGGGTTAGTTTTGTTCATAGTAGTAATGCTCATGTCATTTGATCACTACTAGTCTTTTTTTTACCACCAGGTGTGCAAAAACTACAGGTACATTAAATATTATATTATTATCGGGTATCGGTATCGGTCTTGAGAAGCAGGAAGTTATTGGTATCGGCTTCAAAAAACCAATATCGTGCATCCCTAGTTATAATGGTCTTAAACAACGCAGTAGAGAATACAGGAACAACAATCAGAGCCAAAGTATGGCACATAAATCTGCTGTAATTCCAGTACAAGCTACCAGCAATCGCACAGTCATCGGGTCCTCACCTCGTCGGCATCAACGATCTCCATGACGCGCTCCTTGAAGAACTTGGAGTAAACCTCGCTGGTGATGGACGCCGCCTTCTTCATCAGGTTCAGCTCTCCGTCTTCCTTCACCGCCATCGTGTACGCAACCACGGCGCTGATGTCTACCTGCAGACAGGAAGCCACGCAAAAGAGAGGTGTTAACAACAACGGATCACGCAGAGAGGAACTGTTAGTGACATTTTCGACCGTCTCTTACCTTCTCCAGACCCTCAGCGCTAATCGTTTCGTTCCAGCTCTTCATGTACTCTCCGGGGAATTTGTCCTTGCTGAATATTCCCACCGTCTTTCCCTCTTTGCTGCCTTTGATCGCGTCGATCATCTTGTCAAAGTTAGCCTTGTTGCTTTCATTCTGAGACGTGTGACACAGAATAGCAATACATTAGAATTACTCCGATAAGGGAATAAAAGAAAAAGTGTACATCAAGAGCAAATTGCCTCACAAATCACAAACAAGTCACATCTTCAAATGGTTTACATGTAATTGTACAAAGCGGGGTTTGTATTCAGCCGTTACCTGTGTCTTTAACAGGTTACCTTTTCTCTGGTGAGCAGGGTGATGGGCGGCACACCGTTGGCGTTCTCGTTGCCTTTAGTTATAGCCACCTGTTTGAGGAAATCCACCTTCTTCTTGCTGGCGAGAAAGAGGATTTTGGTGTCGCAAAACACCATGATGGTGTCCGTCAACTCGTAGCCAAACAGCCATGTCTGAGGGGGAAAGCAAGCGTTACGGTGAATATTTAAGTGATTAAAAAACAAAACTCATGCTCAAAACAGATTTTGATTGGGTAATTAATGCATATAACTCTTAACATGCATATTTACTCTCATGTAGCTTTAATTTAAGGTCCTATATGGAAGTCAAGAGAGCAAAATCCTGCTGTCTCTCACCTGTATGGCTGTGGATTTGGCGTACACAATTTCCTCGTCCACTCCTACAGACACCACAATGGCATCAGCTTTTCCAAACTCATCTTCGCCTTTCTGGGAAACACAACAATAAAAGCACACGTAATGTTATGCATGAAATCTATACTGGAGGTGCTCTTACTTCATTCACAGTAATCATCACTGCTAGACAAAGAGTCATGTGTTACATGAAGCTATGTGTGGTAGCATCAGTGTAAAGTTGATTTGTAACACATCTGCCACATCAGCACCTGATGCTGCATCACCTGGCAGCACACACTAGAGTTAACGGTCATTCAAAGCTTATTTAAAAGTGTTTAAATTAGAGTTACATTGCACATGAGGCGTTGTTTAATGAACAATGCATCAGACTGCATGATGTGGCTGCACTATCAAGTGAAAACTCTTCATGAAACATCAAGATACAACTTCTAAAAATAAGTTTGTGACTTGAAAATAAACACATTGTTTTCTGTAGCAAACTAAAAGCACTGAAACTATTAAGTCACTTCCAGAGGCTGTCGACATCCTGCACATGTTACTCGGATGCTGACGTTATTCTGATGCTAATTAGCCAGCTAACATTAGCATGTAGTGACATAAACAAAATCACAAACTGACAGTGAATGTAATGATTTAGGACCCAATGTGAAGCACTATTGCATGGAAAGGCATGTTTCAATGTCACCACATCACTGTTTATTAGTCAAATTAGTCCACGTTTATTCACCACACATTTACCTGTTCGGCTAGTTTGTTAGCTCGGCTGTAAACTCACTAGCCAGCTAACATTAGCATGTAGTGACATAAATATAAATTACACAAGCTAACAGTGACTTACATGATTTAGGACCACATTTAAAGCACGTCTGCATGGTAAATCATGTTGATATGATCCCCTTAACTCTGTTTATTAGTTAAACTAGTCCAACACACATGTATTTGTTCGGCTAGTATGCTAGCTAACGTGGTGAATAGGGATGGAAAGTGTGTTAGCATTAGTTAGCCCGTTTTGTCTGATAGAAAACCAGTGAATCAGCGTAAAAAATTGTTTAAAATGAAGTGAAGAAAGTGAAATCGTGCAACCGAAGGACGGGTTGTTTGTGCCACAAGCAGGCCGGGAAACGGCACCGATTTAGCCGACAACACAGTCAGAAAAACGCGGTTAGCTCATCTTCCAAAGCGCACTTTCTCCACGTTAAAGTTAACCACAGGAGAGGGTTTGACTCCAACACTTCATTTTTACCTTCCAGTTGATGTATAATCTCTTGATCCGGCGGTAGTAAGCATCTTTGTCCAGGTTTACCGCCATGGTTGAGTTGCAAACTCCAGCTCCCGGCTTCGCTTCTCAGCAGGCCGGATGAGGATGATCAACTAACAATAACGCACTTTTCCTTTTCCACGCCTGCACAGATCCACGCAACACTATGCTGCTGCTGCTGCTTCCCTTGTATTTTTTTGTGTGTGCGACCAGAGGCCTTTTCCTCTAAATAATTATGTAAAAAAAAAAAAAAAAGCATAACGCAAAACCCCTTATTAGTCGATAAAATTACGCGAAATTATTAAAATATAATGTATTTTGGCGATTTGCCACACTCACAACCATGCACACACACCAATCTGTATAATTAACTCCTCCGCCCCCCCTCCTGCTTTCCCTTCCTCCAGTTCTTCCTCTCCCTCCCCCTTCGACTATTCACATATCAATTATAATAAACAAACGTTATTTAAAACTCTAAATGCACAAAAAGCTACCTTTTACTGGCTCCTTTCTGAAATGTTAAAGTGAAAAAGCAAACGTCTAAATGTCTGGGGAATCCCTAACATTTTGTTTTGTTACTTTGAGGTTTTATTTGATGAAATGTGGCGCATCCTAGTGTTTTGTGTAGCTCTGCACTGAGAAGCAGCGCCCCCTGTCTGGTGTTGACCACGGTGCTTTTTCCCGCCACGGTGCTTTTTCCCGCCACGGTGGCTTTTCCCGCCATCGTCATCAAACACTTTCTCGTGACGTTAATCTCGCGATAGAAACTGCAACGACGATAAACATGTGTAACACTCGCTTTTTCTGCCTTTTTGTGCTATCAAAAGCGATATTGATGAACATTTATTTGGTATGCTATACATTTGTTTTCTCAACTCTATGTTTTTTAGTCTAGTAAAACATATTGATTTGTATTCATTATTATAACTTATGTTAGAAAATATTGAATGTATCACAGATTTGAACATAAATGCAACTAGAGCTGTAGTTCAAAATATGCATCACCACATGTATAATAAAACATAAAATATTGTATTTGCACAATCAAAAACATTTACAGGATTTCTACAACAAAACAGAAACTGCATTTAATCTGACAGGGTACAGTTCTTCTTGTCAAGTCCTAATGATCCATTGGAAGTTTGTTCTACTGCTTTATATTGAGTGTAAAGTCCATTTTGATCCGTTATTCCCACTGCCGTATTTCGGACAGTGATTTTTCAGCTGGGGAGCTGTTTATGCACAGTGTTGATCACAGAAATAAACATTACATTTGAAACCTGAGCCTGATTATTCATTGATTTAATTGCTCTTTTGAATTTCATGTTTTATTTGTTGTCCTTCTCTTGTGTCCTCTTCCTATGTGACGGTGGTGGAGTTTGGCCCTCGGATGGCGCACCAGGCCATGAACTCGTCACTGTGGAACATAAAATATGTTGTACATGACATGCTGTATGCAGGGTGTAACGTAGATATAAAATGTAAAAAATAATATTTGTTTGCAGCCTTAGTTGTTATTACACAGATACAGACTAGTTTTCATCTTCACCAAATCCAGACACCTGCTAAATGGCTGCCAACAAGTTATTTAAGGACTTTAAAAGTTCGCATGGCTGAACACAAAAACAACCTGCAATAAAACAACACAACTACAGGAACTCACTACTTTAATGAGAAACTTGATGTCAATCAAACATAATTTCACCGAACTCCTGATGTGGTTTGCATGTTGCACGTGTACACACCTGCAGTGTGTGGCGACACACTCGTTGCTGCAGTACTCGTAGTCCCAGTCTTTGCTCTCTACTGCGGGGTTGGTGCAGCCAGATCGCACACAAATGTTACAGCTGGCGATGGGAGTCAAACTCTGGACAGGGGCAACGTTCACCTGAACCTCCATCTGCGAGACAAAATGGAACAGTTCACTCCAGAGCAATTAAAGGTCCACTATTATACTGTTTTTCATTACTTTATTATAGGTCTAAGATATATAAAAAACACGTCTCTGAAGTGTTTGGCTCACACAGATCATTGCAGCATCCCATAATCCCCTCTGTTTCAGCCCTGTTTCCAAAGTGCTGATTCTCTGTCTGTTACTTTAGATGAAAATAAGGAGCCCCTCCCCACGCCCCTCTGAGAGATATTTGGTTACAAAGAACTCAATGGTGCTCTAGGAGTATATTCAGGTGATAAGGTGGGGGGGGGGGGGGGTTACCTTGGTTGGTGATTGGCTAATGCCAAAAAATCGTTATGACATCATAAAGTGGCCAAAATCTGATCAGCTCATTTTCAGACAGGTTTTTATAGAAATGGATCAGGACAAAAAGAGAGAGAATCTTTGTTCCTGAAACTTTCAGGGTCTCTTTCCACAGAGGGGACACATGTTGACGTAGAAGAGACATGAAGAAGAGGGGACACATGTTGATGTAGAAGAGACATGAAGAAAGAGGGGACACATGTTGATGTAGAAGAGACATGAGAAGAGGGGACACATGTGGATGTAGAAGAGACATGAAGAAGAGGGGACACATGTTGATGTAGAAGAGACATGAAGAAGAGGGGACACATGTTGATGTAGAAGAGACATGAAGAAGAGGGGACACATGTTGATGTAGAAGAGACATGAAGAAGAGGGGACACATGTTGATGTAGAGGAGACATGAAGAAGAGGGACACAGTTGATGTAGAAGAGACATGGAGAAGAGGGACACATGTTGATGTAGAAGAGACATGAAGAAGAGGGTGGACACATGTGGATGTAGAAGAGACATGAAGAAGAGGGGACACATGTTGATGTAAGAAGAGACATGAAGAAGAGGGGACACATGTTGATGAAGAAGAGACATGAAGAAGAGGGGGACACATGTTGATGTAAGAAGAGACATGAAGAAGAGGGGGACACATGTTGATGTAGAAGAGACATGAAGAAGAGGGGACACATGTTGATGTAGAAGAGACATGAAGAAGAGGGGACACCATGTTGATGTAGAAGAGACATGAAGAAGAGGGGACACATGTTGATGAAGAAGAGACATGAAGAAGAGGGGACACATGTTGATGTAGAAGAGACATGAAGAAGAGGGGACACATGTTGATGTAGAAGAGACATGAAGAAGAGGGGACAGATGTGGATGTAGAAGAGACATGAAGAAGAGGGGACACATGTTGATGTAGAAGAGACATGAAGAAGAGGGGACACATGTTGATGTAAGAAGAGACATGAAGAGAGGGGACACATGTGATGTAGAAGAGACATGAAGAAGAGGGGACACATGTTGATGTAGAGGAGACATGAAGAAGAGGGGACACATGTTGATGTAGAAGAGACATGGAGAAGAGGGGACACATGTTGATGTAGAAGAGACATGAAGAAGAGGGGACACATGTGGATGTAGAAGAGACATGAAGAAGGGGATTTTGCATAATAGGTGACCTTTAAGACATTTAATGCAACAGATGTATGATCGGGAAGATAGAAACAAGCATCTCTGCTGCTGAGCTTACCCCGTCTTCTGCCTCCTCTACCGCCTCTCCAGCCAACTGTCCAACCTGGACAATCAAACCCAAAGTAGGCGATTCACTTGCTGAGGTCTCAATGATTGGCTGCTTCGACATTGGGACCACCTTGATCTGCAGCGGAGTCAGAATAGTGGAAGTGGAAACTTGTGGTTCTGCCTGCAGAGATGGAGGCGCCTGAACGTGCATCATCTGCTGCACCTTCGACTTAAGAGGGTTGATCTTCATTATCCGATGTGGCGGCAGTTGGCTTGGCGAGGCGCCGGTCATCCACACAACACCTGAAGGGAGCTTCATCTGCTTAATGATGATCTTGGTGATGGTTGGGTGGTTCGGCAGAGGGGTGGTAAAGGGTGGAGGTTGGGGTTTGATAGCCCCAGTGCGTGAGCGCGTTGTGACCTGAGGCACGTCTAGGATGATGTTGGAGGTGCAGATGTTGGTGATGGTGTTCTCCTCAGGGTTGTATTGCTGGGGCCTGGTGGTCTGGTCGATGTGGTTGGAGGCTGATGTTGCTATGAAAGTTGAAGATGCTGTAGGTGGAGATGAGGGGGTGACTTCAGTAGGGACCTGATGAGAGGACGGATGGAGAGGACACAACATCACGCAACCATTAACAACCAAGCTAACACACTAACCGAACAGATAAACGTATGGTGGACTAATTTGACTGATAAACATTGGTAAGGGTATCAGGCAGCAAAACGTAATTTACCATGCAGAAGTGCTTGATATTTGGTCCTCAATCATTACAGTCACTGGACTGACTGACTTCCTTGCTCTTGACTCATACTCAACAGAGAATGCTCTAACTTGAACGCTTCTTTAACTCCAACTAAATGACTCATGAGTGCCTCAGGGTCCCATCCTGGGTCCCCTCCTCTTTTCTCCGTAAACTAATTATCATGGCTTTTCATAACACGGCTACACAGATCACATTGAAATGATTCTGGTCTAAAACCCAGTTGGCTGCATGAATCTCTGCTTGTCTGGCTGACATCTATCAGTGAATGTCTGCAGACACCTTGGAGCTCAACCTTGACAACATCTAATTGCAATGGAGTCATGGAGAAAAAGGTTGTTGACGAATATATCAAGTCATAGTTTTTGTAAACAAAATACTTGCACCTCACCTGAGAAATCTGTCCGGCTCTATACTCTGTCAGCACCTTCAAGTAATCCTTCTTTGCTGCTTCGTTTTTCCTCTTGTAAACCTGAAAAAAGGGGGACATTATGCACTGAAATCAGGCATGCAATTAATCTTTACAAATGTTATTTGGTCTGCCACAAATACTTTTAAAGACATCTTTATACTTCCAGGTCAGAACATCTTAGTCCATTGATCCTGAACTGAAGCACACCGTTGGAGGTACAGTGTTCACAGTGAACACAAATGACCCCTTCAACAGCTAGAAAAGATGGACTGATGGGTAAAGTTAAACAGCTATGAGCACAATTGAAGTTGAAGGAATTTCCTCTCACCTGTTTCTGATCCTCCCCCAGACTGTCCCACATGGAGGCCACTATCTTAGAAACTTCTCCAAAGGTAGCTTTGGGGTTTTGTCTTTTGATAGCGGCCCGAGAGTCCTTGAAGAAAAGAGTGTAGGCCGACACAGGCTTCCGAGGCTCGTTGGGGTCTTTCTTCTTCTTCTTCCGCTTCTTTCGTCCTGCGCCTTCTTTCCGCCCGACAATTGAAGTGATGCTAGATATGGGGCAGAGAGCGGGGACTCGGAAAAGGATGGGTAGAGGGAAGATACTCCAGGAGAGACAGTGCTAGA